AATACGCACTGGGCCCGCGAGGTGGGTCATGGCCCTATCTCCCTATTCTATCCATAAGGAAATCCTGTGCCCCAGCAGTGGGTACATTAATAGGCTGATGATGAAGTCCTATTTAGCTGCAATAGTTTTCCTTTTAATATTCATATTCATTATATTCACAATGAATAAAAATGTATTCATAATTTTTCGTTTTATAAATATAAAAAATACTATATACTTTGATAATAGGTACTAAAATGAAGTATTCGATGTTTCAAAAAAGAAAAAAAGACTACTTTAGTCTTAACACTAGATACCCTAATGCCCTAGTTCTTCCTCAAAAAACTACGGTTCTGTACCATAGAAATGCGTATTGTATGACTATATGTATTTGTAATAGTTTGCCGGATGATCGCAAGGTTTTGCCTTTAAATACGTTCAAGAGGAAAATTAAAACTTGGTTGATTGGGAACAGTTTTTATTCTGTTAAGGAGTTTATTTATGGGTTTATGTAAAAGACGACAGTAATCTACTATTTTTTATTTTACCCCTGGGTTTGGACCGCTTATAGATAGTGCACTTTTATTTTTAAATCTTTATATATATAATTCTTCTGTGAGTGTGTATGTCACTGAACTTCTCTTAAACGACTGGACCGATTTTGATGAAATTTTTTGTGAGTGTTCAAGGGGATCTGAGAATGGTTTAGATTCACAATTTTGTCCGCTGGACAACCCCTATTTTTTTAGGGCGGTACGAAGTTCGCTGGGTCAGCTAGTATTTTATAAAATTTGTATGCCAGATTCTGGTGAATTGTGCGTGTCTCAACAAATAATGTAACACTTTTTGTACCACTTCTCGCAAATAAATAAATTATTATTATTATCAAATAAAACACAGGGATACAAATCAATAGCTTTATTTTTTTACATTTCTTAGAATAATACTCTTGATCTGTGACAATCAGTGTTAATTACTAGTAACAAACAATCTAATAATACGTCGAAATCAAAACAATGTCTAGCTCTCTCTATAATAATATAAATAAAGTAATATAATATACATGTTTAAAAGCTACGATAATAACAATTGTGTGATTATAGATATTGTCCTAGAAGTCTGTAACATAAGTCTTATGATAAAAACCTTTCGAAACGAAACAAGCTTAAGAACACACATCACAAATAAATCTAGAGTCTGTGCGGAAAGAGAATGGGCGTGGCGAAAAACGGAACTAACATTAAGATTTTTATTTGGCAATCAAACCCAGCATTCTGTAAAACGTCAAAGTTTTGTATTAATACGGATTTGTTTGTTGTTGTGATTTCTTGCGGTTTTTTGTATTTAATCCTGTCTAAAAGGGGTAAAACCTAACAAATACGGTAGAAAAGCACTACAGCTCCCTCCAATCTAAATCCCATTCTCCTTCCGCACAGACTCTAACTTGTTTCCTCTGCCTGATTCACCTGTGGTCCTATTGGTTAATCCGACCTGGGGCCAATCGCCTAACGGAAATGCTTTGGAAAACGCTAACGCTTACGATTTTATTTTGTTATTTCTAGCCGCCTGAGGTATTCAAATGCCTCGCGCTCTTTCTTTTTCTTTTGAATTGGTAATAACAATATTAAAAAAAATTTGCGTGAGGTATTCGAAAACCTCAGGCGGCTAGAAATAACAATATAAAATCGTAAGCGTTAGCGTTTCCCAAAGCATTTCCGTTAGGCGATTGGCCCCCTGTTATAATAGCGGAACATTAAATCGCAATCTATAGTTTAATGATTACAGAATATGATATTTCTATATTAGTAGTTGTACCATCTAAGGATTTAATTACCAATGGCACTTCTAGTGGAATTAAGCATTACGACCACGGGAAATGTGTTTAATACTGCCGTCCTCAAACTAAAAGTGCGCTTAAGTGACATGTGGTCGATTTTTCAGTCTTAAATTGCATCTTATATAGTTTTTAATTCTCTATCGGTCTATCTTTAACAAGTATTTGTATCTTTTAAAGTTTAAGTCTAAAAATCCGTCATGTGATGAATTGTTGCAAAATAGCAATAATTTGAAGTTTACCCGCCGTTTTTGGCCATATCTCAAAAGTTGGTTTTGTCGTTTAGCCGCGTTTCAGCTTGAGGACGGCAGAATATGTTTCTGCTCACATTCAGATCTTGACATTTAGAAATTCAGATTAAAAAAAACAAAACTATAAACTACAAAGGCAATATAAAAAGGAACAGAATACAAGGATACCAACCCACAAATATTGGTTTTAAAGAAGATAGACCATATTTTAAAACGTATTTAATTCTCATATCTGATCAACTTGTTTTAATATATTGCTTATTAGAAATTTTGTATTTGAATGTAATGGAAATTTTTGCCAGTCTGTACGAAAAAAAAACGAACATTGTCATTTTTAATAATCTCTTAGAAATAGAAGGACAATGGATAATTATTCATTATAACAATACAATGGAAACTGAAATGCAAAATAGTTCCTTTTGTTTATCATTTTCAGTAACAATCATTAGATTTTACTCTTTCGTTTGTAATGTGTAATCGTCTTGGTTATCTACTTGTAAACCACAATAAATTGTATTTTCATTTATGTTAAATATCATCATAATGTCACATCCAATTACTATAATAATATGTATATAAAACGGCACTTTTCAATTGTCCACGACTACAACTTATACACGTGTATTTACATTACACTAACACTTACCGAGGTTTCTTCGCATTTTGTACATCGCCACTAAATTAGGCAGTTTCATTTAGCAGACAGCCATTTTGGAATTATTTTGCAACATTTTAAGTAGCCTTCCTTGTTACAATAGACTTGCTTTGAACGCTCGATTTCTAGTAATTTTCATTCGACATAATTAATTCCGTATTTTTGAATCGCTCGACGTCAACTAGCGGTCTCGACCACTCGTTGCGCGTTGGCGAAAGGTGGAGGCGAATGGTAGAATAATTTTCAAAATGTCAGATATATTCAAAATTTTTTCTCAATCTTTTTAAAATACAGATAAGATGACGATTTGTTGCGACGTTTTGATCTTTTTTATTACAAAAAGGCAAAAGAGTAAATAACCAGTTATTGAGAATTATACGTTTAATTTTCACAGCGGCAATGACTGCTCATTATCTTTTTAAACGTCTTTTTTCCGTGTTAATAAAAATGTTGTTTTAAACTGGTAACTGTAGATAAACGATTCAAAAATACGGTAAATCAATATCATACGACTTGAAAGTCGAAGGTGACTTATGTCGCATTCGTCGATACCATGTCAGGCGAGTGATTCAAAAATAGAGCTCCTGCTCTCTCTACAGAAGAATAGTATTCTGTAGTGGAACTTCCCAGTGTAGCGCAAAGGTGTGGCAATCTCCAACAAGCAAGGCATATAGCTTCCACTCTCCATCATTCACATTAGAATAACAATCATGCATTAATATTATGTAGGTATAATGTAAATTTTATACATGCATTCATATTTACAAATGGCTAGTTGTCACAATTTATGGATATATTTTTAAGTGACCGTATCATAGAACATCCAGTCTCATCCGCAGCATGAGCACCACAACTTTAATTATATCATGTTTTTTATCGCGTCCAACTGTCAAACTCCATTGTTATTTGACAACTGAGCGTGATAAAAATGCGTTATATATCAAAGCGCGGTGCTCATACTAGGGAGGGGGGCTGAATAGAAAGTAAGGTTTAGGAGAGCGACTTTCATAAAATACGCCGAGCAAAAGAGATTTCAATTAGAATATGCAATTTAATAATATTTGTGAATCCCCTTGAATTTAAAATAATATTACAAAAATAAATTAAGTATGAAAAAATTCACAGGTAGTTAATAGTGCAAACTTAAATGAGCACCGCTACCACTAGACTTCTTGTTAATGGATATTGTGATATTTGTTCTTTTTATCAATGCGTTGTTAGACAAAGACAAACATATTGTTTTAAACTTTCATAGTCACTAACATTACAGCTATTGACGGGATTGTTACCATGTACCTTGTTTGCAACAGTGCCGAAAAACTCATAATAAACAAGGTACATGGTAACAATCCCGTTAATAGCTATAAAGACAAACATATCGCACCGGTTAAACAACGGCCATTAATAGGAGATGTTAGGACCACATATCACACCGGTAATTCGTTCGAAAACTGTATGGACACATCTAATACCACTAATAGAACACCAAAAAAAATTCGTATCAAGTCTGATCGATTGGAAAAGAATATAGGCCCAATTACTGAATTTCGCAGGTCAAATGTACTTACATGAAGTCTATATGAGATGAACGCATATGAAGTATGAAGTCAGTACGAACAACCGATGAAGTCATATACAGACAACCGATGAAGTCATATACGAACAACCGATGAAGTCATATACGGACAACCGATGAAGTCATATACGGACAACCGATGAAGTCATATACGAACAACCGATGAAGTCATATACGGACAACCGATGAAGTCATATACGGACAACCGATTAAGTCATATACGGACAACCGATGAAGTCATATACGAACAACCGATGAAGTCATATACGGACAACCGATGAAGTCATATACGGACAACCGATGAAGTCATATACGAACAACCGAAGAAGTCATATACGGACAACCGATGAAGTCATATACGGACAACCGATGAAGTCATATACGGACAACCGATGAAGTCATATACGGACAACCGATGAAGTCATATACGGACAACCGATGAAGTCATATACGAACAACCGATGAAGTCATATACGGACAACCGATGAAGTCATATACGGACAACCGCTGAAGTCATATACGGACAACCGATGAAATCATATACGGACAACCGATGAAGTCATATACGGACAACCGATGAAGTCATATACGGACAACCGATGAAGTCATATACGAACAACCGATGAAGTCATATACGGACAACCGATGAAGTCATATACGAACAACCGATGAAGTCATATACGGACAACCGATGAAGTCATATACGGACAACCGATGAAGTCATATACGGACAACCGGTGAAGTCCCTATTTACACCAAGAGCTATAGGTATCACTTTGTACACCGTCAGGAGGTTAGAGATCAAATATCAAAAATGTTGGAACAGAATATAATTAGGCCCTTTGAGTCTGCATGGAGCGCACCGATCTAGGATCTTGTTCCTAAAAAATTTGATGCCTCTGGAAAACAAAAATGGAGGATAGTCATTGATTTCCGTAAAATAGACGAGAAAGAAAGAGACTATAGACGACAATTATCCCATCCCAAATGAGGAGCTGGCAAACAAAACGGTATAACGGTATAACAAAATTTGACAGGAGCTGTAAAAAACCAAATGACATACCTACGGTGAGCTTTTGGCGTGATTTTTAATTTCGTAATTTTTGTACTATATGATCAAAACCATATGCGTAATTATATCGTTTCGTTCGCCAGCTCCTCATTAATAAATGACGTACAGAATAAGCCAGGAAGATATCAGTATTACAGCACACTCGATCTTGCTTCTGAAACCCCGATGATATACAGTGCAGACTTTGAATTTAAGGCCTCAATTGTTGACAGTCTTTTTTGATGGCACGAATGCTATAGACATTTGAGTAACGCCGATCCTGTATAGGTGGATTTTCAAGTCGCACGTAAGGAACTTAAGATTATAGATACACAAATGTGGTTGTTTTAAAATCACTTGGTACAATGCTGGAATTTGGTGGTATGTTTCTATATAATAGAACAGGGTTAAGTTGCAAATTGTTCATCAGTACATTTTACATTTTCTCTAAAATCAGTCAGGTTTCAAGCCGCCACTTAGCACTACAAAAACTTATAGCACTTTAGTTCTATGAAATAATAAATAGGCGCGTTACTGTCGATTCTGGCACGATTCTCTAAATCAAAACTTAAATTTGACAACAGTGTATCCTTGTCATTCCCTATACAGAATGAAAAGGAAAGACTAATGTTAGATTTAGTTTAAGTTTAGAGAATCACGCCAGAATTGACACCAGTAAATACATATTTTGCCTACATAAAGACTAAATGTAAACAACATGGACTTTTCAATAGCAATCTTCGCGTTCTTTCACATTTTTTTTATGTTAAATATACTTATTTATAATAGAATGATAATTGCAACTGCACAACATCCAAGCTTACCTTAAGTAGCAGTCTTAAGTTAGCTAAGCACTAAGTAACGCGACGATGACGACTCCTAATTACACTATTCTGTGGTCCACATGTTAAAATTAGTAGTGTATGCATATTAGGTAGAATCTTCACGATATGGGCATACTTTGTGAAAATGCCGGTCAAATATCGTTAATATAGTTCTTTGTTGTCTTATTACTATTTTTTTTTAAATTAAATGAAATACAAAAAAAAATTAATCAAAAAGTTTGAATGATAGATAAATTTTGTTCTTTTTTTGTTTTATCAACCAAAGCAAAAACTGGAGATTGATGAAATAGTTTTATGGCTACCCAAATTAGGTTTTAGTAGCCCTAAAACAATTTTTTTACATGTGATTTTTTTATATTATAATTACAATAAAAACATATTTAAAGAACGAAAGGATAAAATAAGACGTCAAATTTGCGCACCATGAGGAAAAGAAAGCTTCATTTTCATCATAAATTACACACTTCGAAACACTTTACATGAAACAGGAGATAATTGTCTTTATCATTTATACATTACGTACGTCAACAAAAAAAAAACATATCACTAAATCACTGAAACAGCTATGTCATTAAGTCACTCGAGTGTTTATGGTCTCTCTGTAGTTAAACTCGTAATCTTAATGACTTTGAAGTTAACTCGGAATACTCGACTCGTTATGAAGTATCATTTTCTTTGGCAGAACACTATACAATTCTATAAAATGTGTAAGATTACTACCAAGCTATTAACCAGTCCGATTATCAGTTGACTGGAAAAAATAGTACATTTCTCTCGCATTTTGACTATAGTTAAAAAAGCTGCTAAATAATCTATACAAAGGCACTATTAATTTCTTGATATTGCGAACAGCGAAGTTTATTTTACTATAAAAAATGTGTTAATTTTACAGAAAACAATAACAACCTTTTCACAACATAAATGGTTAGTATTGAAACTGGTGCGGGTGTAATACTTTGGTTTGTAAAGTTCTTATGTTAAGATGGCCGCCGGATTATAAAGCTGTTGAGTCGGAGTTCACACTCGCACCCGAATCTGTGTAAGGCTTAATTTACGCGGAACGCAACGGTAGCGAAACTATGCAGTCTCATGAATTAATACATGCCTAACAATGAAAGTGAGGCCATGAGAACGATAGTGGCCTAACTCATTTTTTACAATACTGAGTTTATGATTTTTTCCATTTCAAATTGATCATTTTGATAGAACCAGAGTGGTCTAAAAGTGATACAACGAATATTCACTAGATGGTAGCATAACTACTGTTACGGATTTTAGTCTGTGATTTAAATTTTAGGCGCCATACTGGCCTTAGTAAGATAGGCCACTATGGTTAAAAAATGAGTTAGGCCACTATGGTTCTCATGGCCTCAAGTGTTAGGTTGTTTCGAGAATTTTAAAGTAATCGCGTAAGTTATAAACGCCCGAAAATTAAGCTGTCATTCGAGGTACTCTCGCGCATTATTCTAATATTAGTTATTTCGCGTCCGTTCCGTTCCGTGGCCGTGTGAATGGAGCAGTATAATTTTACAATAGGGAATATGTATGATTATTTTTTATATTTTTATTTCATAGTTTACATTCCCTAAAGATAGTATAAAAAAATTACAACGTCGAAAAAATACTGTAATGTGTCCAAAAATAATGTTAAAAAAACCTCTTTACACGGGAATTATAAACGCGTGCTATTTTAGAACATGTGGTGTGACGTCACAGTTCATAGTAACTAAACAAACCAGTAAGATTAGGTTAGATGAGCGCGCACTGCGCATTAGCACTAGGTCTCGTGGATTTTGACATATCCTGTGCACATGGCGCTTGTTTGTTGATTTGTTGCTATGTATATCTACGTCACAAACGGTTCATCGCGTTTCAGATATAAGAATTTCCCAAAAGTTTTTAGCACGTTTCTATAATTAATGTCTTGCAAAAATTAAACATTAAAAATTATTGATGGAGGGACTAATCAAAAGTAAAAGAATTTATATAAAAAAAATTGAGCCTCATTTGAATGAAGGCTTATCGCGAATGAATCCGCCGCTAGAGGCGCTTGTGTAGCGTGAGGTCCTTCGATCAACAATTCCAGTGGGGTCTCCCGAAATGTCTAATGTTATTGCTTGTGGGTCGACTACGCAGGTTTATTTCTAATTGAAATAATGTTGGGAATATTTGATAATAACTCAGATTGATTATGGCAAATATGAGTTACGTGTCAACGAATGTCAGTGATTTAAAAGCGGAGCTAAGAAAAATACTACGACCTCTGCACAACACTTTGGCATAGCCGATTATGTTAAGGATATCTATTAAAATGCGATTTAAATGTAAACTTAGATTTCACGTTTGTAATAACAAATTTTACTTTAGGACTTCACTCGACAATGGCGCCATCTGGTGAGACAGATAACTGTATCCCTCATTACATGCATATTCCCTATTGTTGTGAATGTAAGCAACTAGTCAAGTGGCGAGTAAGCAACGAGTCGATAGTATTCACATCAGCAGCGCGGTATTGATGAGTAACGCGTGCGGGCGCGGTCAGGCCGCCTTCACTAAGGAATCTGCCGCCATTAGCAGCATCTTGAATTGGCGGGCTAACGCGTGCGTTGGATGCGCGGATAGGAATGCCATTACCTGCGTTCAAAATTAAAATATTAAATAAAATAAATAAATATTTCCAACACTCACACCAATGACGGTTTTTTGGAATGACAGGCACCAGGTGCAACCAGGACAAATCGCATATGATCTCATAGTCTATGAATCTGGTCTATGGAGTTGGCGCTAAAAACTTCATACAAAAGACCTCACGTAACAGTGGCGCCGACTGGTGACGTAAATTTTCATAGACACCCTCATTAGCCTAGCCCCAAAGTAAGCACTGTAATGCTTGTATTATGGGATGGGAATACATATAAAGTACATATATAAGTATATTTATATAGAAATACATATTAAACATCCATGACTGGTGTACAAATGCTCGTATTCATCACACAAACATCTGCCCCCACCGGGATTCTAACCCGGGACCTGGAATCGACGACACCATTAAACCCGGCGCAAAGTCATTTTTTAACTTGACGACTCTGTATATAACAATACAGGGAGATATAGGGTGTATTCCAAAATATAAACCAGTACGCTGGCCAGTGGTAATGACGTCATGATTTCGACGCCATATTGCACTGGTGTAGTAGTAGTGTTGTCAATATGGCGTCGAAATCATGACGTCATTACCACTGGCCAGCGTACTGGTGTTTGATTCGGAATACACCCTTAAACAGCTCTTGTCGAGTTTCTTGCCGGTTCTTCTCAGTACAAGTTCTCCCGCCGTGGTTTTGCGAACCGATCGATGGCGTAGCTTCTTGACCTTCACAAGTGCTTGTAAAAGCCTAGACTGAATAAATGATTTTTGATTTTGAGCTTACCAGTGACGGCATAGTGCTGAATAAAATTATTAATGTCCATCTATCTTTCTAAATAAGTTTTCTGGTGGTTCAAATGACCCATCAATTTTTGACACGGGCCTATAGTCTTTTGTATGAAAAACCTACAAGTTGATATTGATTTGATCACAAGCTCAACTATAAGAAAATAAGTTATTTGAATTAGAGTTATACCTGTTTCTGCAGCTCTCGTACGACCACGGGGAGATGCTCGCGCGTGACGGGGTTGCTTGTGTCGAGATTCATTATCGCTTCTTCTAAGTACCTGCAGTGGAGCGAAGTATGTTATTTTCGTATAAATTGGTTTCTTATTGCGTTTTGGGAATTATTGCAAAAAGTTCTAAACAATTTTGAACTTGTTGAAGTTGTTTAGTGTTACCAACGTCATGACGCGTTTTGCAATAAGTAGTAAGTAGTTTTTGTATGGCTATATTTTAAACATCCCTATTTAACCTGTTTTCCAATGAATCGGCTAAATAGGGATGTTTAAAAAAAATTAGCCCTCGTAAACTTCAGTTGTCCATCACCTTTAATTTGCGATAAATAAAAAAATGAGAAAAATGGGCGGGCCTACACCGTACCTGTGCTTGAGGGGCGTGTCGCGCGGCATGTCGGCGCCGAGCTGCTGCACGAGGGACAGCAGCACGTGCTGCTTGAGGCGGCACTACACTGGAGGCGGGAGGCGGGCCTACACCGTACCTGTGCTTGAGGGGCGTGTCGCGCGGCATGTCGGCGCCGAGCTGCTGCACGAGGGACAGCAGCACGTGCTGCTTGAGGCGGCACTACACTGGAGGCGGGAGGCGGGCCTACACCGTACCTGTGCTTGAGGGGCGTGTCGCGCGGCATGTCGGCGCCGAGCTGCTGCACGAGGGACAGCAGCACGTGCTGCTTGAGGCGGCACTACACTGGAGGCGGGAGGCGGGCCTACACCGTACCTGTGCTTGAGGGGCGTGTCGCGCGGCATGTCGGCGCCGAGCTGCTGCACGAGGGACAGCAGCACGTGCTGCTTGAGGCGGCACTACACTGGAGGCGGGAGGCGGGCCTACACCGTACCTGTGCTTGAGGGGCGTGTCGCGCGGCATGTCGGCGCCGAGCTGCTGCACGAGGGACAGCAGCACGTGCTGCTTGAGGCGGCACTACACTGGAGGCGGGAGGCGGGCCTACACCGTACCTGTGCTTGAGGGGCGTGTCGCGCGGCATGTCGGCGCCGAGCTGCTGCACGAGGGACAGCAGCACGTGCTGCTTGAGGCGGCACTACACTGGAGGCGGGAGGCGGGCCTACACCGTACCTGTGCTTGAGGGGCGTGTCGCGCGGCATGTCGGCGCCGAGCTGCTGCACGAGGGACAGCAGCACGTGCTGCTTGAGGCGGCACTACACTGGAGGCGGGAGGCGGGCCTACACCGTACCTGTGCTTGAGGGGCGTGTCGCGCGGCATGTCGGCGCCGAGCTGCTGCACGAGGGACAGCAGCACGTGCTGCTTGAGGCGGCACTACACTGGAGGCGGGAGGCGGGCCTACACCGTACCTGTGCTTGAGGGGCGTGTCGCGCGGCATGTCGGCGCCGAGCTGCTGCACGAGGGACAGCAGCACGTGCTGCTTGAGGCGGCACTACACTGGAGGCGGGAGGCGGGCCTACACCGTACCTGTGCTTGAGGGGCGTGTCGCGCGGCATGTCGGCGCCGAGCTGCTGCACGAGGGACAGCAGCACGTGCTGCTTGAGGCGGCACTACACTGGAGGCGGGAGGCGGGCCTACACCGTACCTGTGCTTGAGGGGCGTGTCGCGCGGCATGTCGGCGCCGAGCTGCTGCACGAGGGACAGCAGCACGTGCTGCTTGAGGCGGCACTACACTGGAGGCGGGAGGCGGGCCTACACCGTACCTGTGCTTGAGGGGCGTGTCGCGCGGCATGTCGGCGCCGAGCTGCTGCACGAGGGACAGCAGCACGTGCTGCTTGAGGCGGCACTACACTGGAGGCGGGAGGCGGGCCTACACCGTACCTGTGCTTGAGGGGCGTGTCGCGCGGCATGTCGGCGCCGAGCTGCTGCACGAGGGACAGCAGCACGTGCTGCTTGAGGCGGCACTACACTGGAGGCGGGAGGCGGGCCTACACCGTACCTGTGCTTGAGGGGCGTGTCGCGCGGCATGTCGGCGCCGAGCTGCTGCACGAGGGACAGCAGCACGTGCTGCTTGAGGCGGCACTACACTGGAGGCGGGAGGCGGGCCTACACCGTACCTGTGCTTGAGGGGCGTGTCGCGCGGCATGTCGGCGCCGAGCTGCTGCACGAGGGACAGCAGCACGTGCTGCTTGAGGCGGCACTACACTGGAGGCGGGAGGCGGGCCTACACCGTACCTGTGCTTGAGGGGCGTGTCGCGCGGCATGTCGGCGCCGAGCTGCTGCACGAGGGACAGCAGCACGTGCTGCTTGAGGCGGCAGGGCGGGCCGAACACTGAGGGCGGGTCGGCGGCGCGACAGGCGGCTACTACGAGCGCTAGATCCGACGCGGATAGCGCCAGTTGGAACGCGCCATTCACGTCCCCGGCGCTTATCAGCGACTGAATCTGCGCTACCTGCATCTGTTCCCCACGAAAAATGGAAATACAAATGGTTATATTAATATAATTATATAAAATTCTTTGTTAATCAATAAGAGATTCACACGCGTTGGTGAGTGTGGCAAACTATTGTGCCGGTGACGATGACATGAATTCACGAAAATTACAGTAATACTGCCTCAAAATTACGAACACAATAAAAAAATCAATCAATCGATAGATCGGTCGAGGCGATTGCCTGCTTGATGGATAGCATTTGTAGCTTTGATTTAGTTCAAAGAACCACGATTTGAAGCTTTGCAATTTTTATTTACGTTAAGTTATTAGTTTTAGACACTTCTTCCCCAAATATTAAATCAAAGAAACTTATACTTTTAAACCGATCTGCAAATACTGATAACAAGTATGGAGAATAGCTTAAGAATTAATTTCGAGCTTATGGAAACATTACTAGCTACATTAATTTACTTTGAACAATAGCATTATTTTATGAAAAAACAAAACGAAATTGATGACTACTGGCTAAGTGAAGCATAGTTGAAAGTGCAAAAATTTGGCAATACCGACGTAATGTTTTTTTTATTACTGTTTAATAAACAAACTATCATGTATGGTATAAACTACTCAGTTCATTATCTATATACATCAGAAATGACAATTTAGGTGTAAAAATTTTACTTGTAATAAAAACGGTAACGATTCTTGCACGCAGTTTCTGTTTGAGTTCCGAGGTCTCTGTAATGAAAATTACGTAGCCGCAATATTAATAGTCCAGTCAGTATTGTCGCGAAATCCGTTTTTCCAATTATCTCAAAAAGTATACGAGATACGGAAAAAAACTTCAAATGAAAATTGTAGATCTTTTTGAAATCTACAAAACATTATTCCACCCTCTTGCCCCTATTTTCAATAGGGGAGCCAATAATCGAAGTCAAAGATTCAATACTTAAAAAGTTAAAGTTAGTAAAAAAGTTATCTTTGACTTCGATTATTGGCTCCCCTATTGAAAATAGGGGCAAGAGGGTGGAATAATGTTTTGTAGATTTCAAAAAGATCTACAATTTTCATTTGAAGTTTTTTTCCGTATCTCGTATACTTTTTGAGATAATTGGAAAAATAGATTATTAAGGGTGGTTTTCACCCTTGCCCGGGGTTGGAAACATTTTTTTCTCTATGTAAAGTGTTCTTTACTATCTTAAGAAACTTTTTAGCATAGTTCCAGCTGTTTGAGGAAAAACGGATTTCGCGACAATACTGACTGGACTATAAGGAAACTGTAGAAGAATGATATTAGATTACTCATTACTGGAGACACACACAGTTCTAGAAACTAATATAGCTATTAACGAACCTAATTATACATGTAACTTTAATTAGTTCCAATAAATATATTTTCATATTTTTTCATTTTCATTTCATTACTGGAGACAACCGAGTGTAATAGATGATTTGCGGAAAATTGATCGAAAACAATTCATCGAACACAATTCATCGAAAAAACAATTCGTCGAAATTACAATTCTTCGAACACAATTCATCGAAAAAACAATTCGTCGAAATTACAATTCTTCGAACACAATTCATCGAAAAAACAATTCGTCGAAAAACAATTCTTCGAACGGTAATTCCAAAAAAAAAAATGAAAATTTAGCAGGAGGGAGGCTAAAACGAGGTGGGGAAAGGGGAAAAAGTATGAAAAAAAAACGTTGCACGTACAAAAGTGTCGTTTCTGGCGCTTCGCCGGCCGCTGCCGCGGCACGCTCGCTCCGCTCGCTCGGCTCGCGCGTTTTTGGTCATCATACTAACCTAACCTAACCTAATGAACTCTTTAGACTTTATTCGTTGCGGGGGGCTTCGCCCCCCGAGCCCCCCCGCCCCACTTCGGTTCTGTCACTAATAATATGAAATATAAAAAGCATGAAATTGTTTTTCGGGGAATTACCGTTCGAAGAATTGTTGTTCGACGAATTATTTTTTCGAAGAATTGTAATTCGATGAATTGTTTTCGATGATTTTTCCGGTGAGGGTAATAGATAGTTAATAGTCTTAGGCCCGTTTTACAGAATGATAACTAAGTATCGATCTTTACTTGAGTACAGTTAGAAAGGGATGTTGCTATGTGCTATATATAGCGATATCCCTTTCTAACTGTACTCAAGTAAAGATCAACACTTAGTTGTCATTCTGTAATACGAGCCTAAGAGCCTACGACTCTAAACCTAGTATAATAAGACTCACATATTATACATAAATATATATTAGACACGTTGTAGGGGCCGTTACTAGGACCCTAACGACTGTCAATATGTCAATAAGTCACGGGACGATTTGTCAGGAGATAATTATTAAAATACGTCAATATGATGTGAATGCCTTTATTGCACTGTCTTTTATGTATAATATTGTTCTTAAACCAATTAGTGGGTCAACTGTGTTAGCAGTTTAGAGTGCATCGACTCGGAATGCAAACTTAATAAAATATAATTAAAATAGCTTGTACACACGTCATTCATAGAAGATTACGAAACAAAGGTGCTGAACTTTAGCGGCGTAATTAAAATTAAATTTTTCAAAACCAAAAAAAATACGGTTTCTAGTTTGACAAGACTCCCAGCTTTCGTTTGTTCTTCGAAATATATATCTCATATCGTGAGGCTGCAGAACGCGGCTACATGGATATTGTTCTAGGGCCAAGCACCACTGCCTAGAATCTAGGTCTTAACCTTTTAGTGATGAGGAACAATTTGTCAAAAGACGGAAATATTGGAATATCCGTCTTGCCACGGACGACGACATACGATTCGGACTTTAGATGCGGCCCCACATTTTTCAAAATCTGTTGTGGACCACTTCGGGTGCTTCCAGGGACTATCGGTTAAAAATCATTGATGTAGAGCTCAGTCGCGTTGGCTGCCTCACCTAGGGGTCGTGGTGCGAGGCGTGCGAACCACTTATTCCTGCCACTACGACATCTCCTCATCTCGTGAGGCTGCAGAAAGCGGCTACATGGATATTGTTCTAGGGCCTAGAATCTAGGTCTTAATCTTTTAGTGATAAGGAACAATTTGTCAAAAGACGGAAATATTGGAATATCCGTTTTACCACGGACGACGACATACGATTCGGACTTTAGATGCGCCCCCTTTCGAAGACAGACTCTTTGATTGTAAATATTTATATTAACGCTTATCTATGCCACGCCTTTCTAACTCTATTCTTGTCAAACTCTCTTGTGCTGCTTCTTTAATAACTACTTATAGTTATACTTTCGAGCGGGACCAGGATGACGAGGACAGCAAAGGAAACGGCGGTTAGGGGAAAGGGTTATATTATTAAATACAAATATTGCAGAAATAAAAGGAAAAGACAGTAAGCATAACCAGTTAAAAAAGAAGCAGAACAAGAGAGTTTGACAAGAATAGAGTTAGGACGGCGTGGCATAGATAAGCGTTTATAATAAAAATTTTTGCAATCAAAGAGTCTGTCTTCGACACCCCACATTTTTCAAATGGCGTTGCGGACCACTTCGGGTGCTTCCAGGGACTATCGGTTAAGAACTATTGTTGTAGAGCTCAGTCTCGTAGTCTGCCTCACCTGTCGGTAGTTATGCGAGGCGTGCGAGCCACTTATTCCTGCCACCACGACATCTCCTCATCTCGTGAGGCTGCAAACGCGGCTACTTGGATATTGCACTAGGGCCTAGCACCACTGCCTAGAATCTAGGCAGGTCTTAACCTTTTAGTGATAAGCAACAATTTGTCAAAAGACAGAAATATTGGAATATCCGTCTTTTTTTCTTTTTATATAGATAGGTCCGACAAATGACTCCACCCCGCCTGATGTTAAGTGAAGGTGAAGTCCAGACGCGAAGATAGCTGATACAGCAGTTCTAACTGCCACACCAACCATCCTCACCCTGCCGGCCTGCATGTTGCTTCTTCACGCCTCTTTTAAAGAATCCCAGGTTATAAGAGGGAGGGAACACGTGAGCGGGCAGAGCATTCCGTTTACGGATAGTACGACAAAGAAATGAGTCAAAGTCTTGCCACGGACGACGACATACGAATCGGATTTTAGATGCGCCCCCGCCCCTGGGTGCTTCCAGGGACTATCGGTTAAGAACTATTGTTGTAGAGCTCAGTCTCGTTGGCTGCCTCACCTGTCGGTCGTGGTGCGAGGCGTGCGAGGCATGCGAGGCGTGCGGCGTGGAGGGGGAATGTGCGCGCGACAGCTGCCGGGCCACTTGTTCCCGCCACCAAGACATCTCCTTTTCTAGGACGCTGTTAAACACAAAAACGATTAGTGAAATCTTCCTATAGTATATAGTAACTAGCTGTCCCAGCGAACTTCGTACTGCCATAAAAAAATAGGGGTTGGTGGTAGAAGGGTGAAAATTTAGGATTGTATGTATTTTTGATTGATGTATCATAAAAAAAATAAATCTAAAATTTAAAAAAAAAAGATAATAGTTTGGGATTGGCGGAGCCTAAAATGACGTCACACGCAAGTAAACTTTCGGTTAAAGTGACATTAAATTGTATCGTTGGACGTTTTAATAACAGTCGTGTGACGTCACACACTAGTAAGACGCCATATTGTCCAGAAAATCGTTTTCGCGGCAATTTGAAAATGGAGTTTTTGAATTGGTTATTTTTACTGAAATACACAACAGAATGATGAATATCCACTTTTTACGGACTCCATAAACATTATTCAATAACGTGAGATCGTTTCCTAAAACTTGTCAAATACCATATTTATTGATATGAATATAATTAAATTGCACAATAGGAACAAGGAATTGAATGAAAATAAGAATTGCACAAATTTTAACTATAGAAATATATTTTGTTTACTAAAACATTGTACATGTAAACTTAAACTTAACACGAGAGACTCATCGTAACGTTACCGAGCGTTACACTTTTTCATAAGTGACTCCCAGCCGCAACCTAATTTAAGACGTTGTCACGTCAAAAAAAAAAAATAAAAATGGGTGTGTGTGTGTGTGTATATACCTGTGCGCGGCCTCCTGCAGCGCGGCGGTGTAGTGGGGGGCGGAGGAGAGGGCGTGTGAGTGTCGCTCGAGCGCGGCACCGTGTCGTTCGAGCGCCGCCTTCAGTTGTGCGGTGGCAGCGGCGTCGCGTGTCGTCTGTGCGTGTGTGTATACCTGTGCGCGGCCTCCTGCAGCGCGGCGGTGTAGTGGGGGGCGGAGGAGAGGGCGTGTGAGTGTCGCTCGAGCGCGGCACCGTGTCGTTCGAGCGCCGCCTTCAGTTGTGCGGTGGCAGCGGCGTCGCGTGTCGTCTGTGCGTGTGTGTATACCTGTGCGCGGCCTCCTGCAGCGCGGCGGTGTAGTGGGGGGCGGAGGAGAGGGCGTGTGAGTGTCGCTCGAGCGCGGCACCGTGTCGTTCGAGCGCCGCCTTCAGTTGTGAGGTGGCAGCGGCGTCGCGTGTCGTCTGTGCGTGTGTGTATACCTGTGCGCGGCCTCCTGCAGCGCGGCGGTGTAGTGGGGGGCGGAGGAGAGGGCGTGTGAGTGTCGCTCGAGCGCGGCACCGTGTCGTTCGAGCGCCGCCTTCAGTTGTGCGGTGGCAGCGGCGTCGCGTGTCGTCTGTGCGTGTGTGTATACCTGTGCGCGGCCTCCTGCAGCGCGGCGGTGTAGTGGGGGGCGGAGGAGAGGGCGTGTGAGTGTCGCTCGAGCGCGGCACCGTGTCGTTCGAGCGCCGCCTTCAGTTGTGAGGTGGCAGCGGCGTCGCGTGTCGTCTGTGCGTGTGTGTATACCTGTGCGCGGCCTCCTGCAGCGCGGCGGTGTAGTGGGGGGCGGAGGAGAGGGCGTGTGAGTGTCGCTCGAGCGCGGCACCGTGTCGTTCGAGCGCCGCCTTCAGTTGTGAGGTGGCAGCGGCGTCGCGTGTCGTCTGTGCGTGTGTGTATACCTGTGCGCGGCCTCCTGCAGCGCGGCGGTGTAGTGGGGGGCGGAGGAGAGGGCGTGTGAGTGTCGCTCGAGCGCGGCACCGTGTCGTTCGAGCGCCGCCTTCAGTTGTGCGGTGGCAGCGGCGTCGCGTGTCGTCTGTGCGTGTGTGTATACCTGTGCGCGGCCTCCTGCAGCGCGGCGGTGTAGTGGGGGGCGGAGGAGAGGGCGTGTGAGTGTCGCTCGAGCGCGGCACCGTGTCGTTCGAGCGCCGCCTTCAGTTGTGCGGTGGCAGCGGCGTCGCGTGTCGTCTGTGCGTGTGTGTATACCTGTGCGCGGCCTCCTGCAGCGCGGCGGTGTAGTGGGGGGCGGAGGACAGGGCGTGTGAGTGTCGCTCGAGCGCGGCACCGTGTCGTTCGAGCGCCGCCTTCAGTTGTGCGGTGGCAGCGGCGTCGCGTGTCGTCTGTGCGTGTGTGTATACCTGTGCGCGGCCTCCTGCAGCGCGGCGGTGTAGTGGGGGGCGGAGGAGAGGGCGTGTGAGTGTCGCTCGAGCGCGGCACCGTGTCGTTCGAGCGCCGCCTTCAGTTGTGCGGTGGCAGCGGCGTCGCGTGTCGTCTGTGCGTGTGTGTATACCTGTGCGCGGCCTCCTGCAGCGCGGCGGTGTAGTGGGGGGCGGAGGACAGGGCGTGTGAGTGTCGCTCGAGCGCGGCACCGTGTCGTTCGAGCGCCGCCTTCAGTTGTGCGGTGGCAGCGGCGTCGCGTGTCGTCTGTGCGTGTGTGTATACCTGTGCGCGGCCTCCTGCAGCGCGGCGGTGTAGTGGGGGGCGGAGGAGAGGGCGTGTGAGTGTCGCTCGAGCGCGGCACCGTGTCGTTCGAGCGCCGCCTTCAGTTGTGCGGTGGCAGCGGCGTCGCGTGTCGTCTGTGCGTGTGTGTATACCTGTGCGCGGCCTCCTGCAGCGCGGCGGTGTAGTGGGGGGCGGAGGACAGGGCGTGTGAGTGTCGCTCGAGCGCGGCACCGTGTCGTTCGAGCGCCGCCTTCAGTTGTGCGGTGGCAGCGGCGTCGCGTGTCGTCTGTGCGTGTGTGTATACCTGTGCGCGGCCTCCTGCAGCGCGGCGGTGTAGTGGGGGGCGGAGGAGAGGGCGTGTGAGTGTCGCTCGAGCGCGGCACCGTGTCGTTCGAGCGCCGCCTTCAGTTGTGCGGTGGCAGCGGCGTCGCGTGTCGTCTGTGCGTGTGTGTATACCTGTGCGCGGCCTCCTGCAGCGCGGCGGTGTAGTGGGGGGCGGAGGAGAGGGCGTGTGAGTGTCGCTCGAGCGCGGCACCGTGTCGTTCGAGCGCCGCCTTCAGTTGTGCGGTGGCAGCGGCGCCGCCGCGTTCTGCCGCCGCTCGCGCTGCCGCCTCAGTGTTGGCCGCGACTGTGTGAAGGAAGAACTGTTTTAATAACATAGTTGCGATGCACATTTACTGCAATATTTAATTCTCAGCAGTCATTACGAATTCATTCATACCTCATCACCACTGTTTAGGCGCAGGCCTCCCCAATGGATGGAATAAGAATATTGGGCATTGAGCCAGCACATAGACCCTAATGCAAACTTGTTAGAGCTACGACGGCGGATCAGTAGTCACAGTCGATAGCATTATGTGATTTAATGTGCCTCCTGACGCATGAAAGAGCTCAAAATAATAACAATTTCGGTCACCTATCCAATGATCGGCCTATCGCGGATCACAGACTAAACGTACATACAATTTGCGGCGTCGAGCTCTTCATGGTGATTTTGAACTTCATTTACCGCATATCAACATTATCAGTATTTCATTGCTTTCCTAATGACATTTATAATCTTGCTTCTATGACAAGTATACTTACACTCCTTAGTGCCGGCCTGGAAGGCGGCGTTAATCTGTCGGAACATCTGCGCGTGCGCCTTCTCAACGACGGGCACTACGCTCGCCATGATCGCCTCGCGGAACTGCTCGCGGACCATCTCCGACAGAGACTTGGCTATGGACGTGCTCAGCTTTTCCATCAGCAACTGTTGGCGTTTGTAATAACTTTAGCGGTTCTCAAAATTAAAGCTCAACGTACAGAATCGAGTGATGAGTGACAAGAAAATACTCCAGTCACCCAAGTCAAGTGGCAAACGCTTCGTAGGGAATGGGGGTATTTTGGGGGGACACGTATTTTTTCTTTGGGCAATCAACCAAAAAATTACAAAGTTATAGCGCGTCAAAGTTTGGGAGTAGGGGCTCGTGACGTCACTTTTGAGTGAATTTTCACTTATAAGTGTACTCAAACGTGACGTCATGAGACTTTTCAAATCAATATATCTCTGCAATGTTTATATTATGTGAAAGAAGAAAAAAATATGTGTCCAATACTTTTTGATAATCTACCTAATAAATGAAGAAAAAAAAATAGTCATCATCCCTATTCGTTTAGCGCTACGTTAGCCACGTTTGAATAGAAAATTAATTAATACCTGACAGGTCGTTACGTCTTGATCACGTGATATAACATTCATTAGGTACTTACAGTCCCATACATTTGGCATTTTATTTACGCTAAACGCTAGTAAATGTGATCTACTTGGCCAGGCTACCTGAGTTAAAAGAGCATCCGTGTGCGAACTCGCAGGCAAAGCTTACTTACTACCTAAAGTATGTATAAAGCATAAGTCTGTTGGAATGTTTCCCAACACTAAATATTGTGCACAGCAATAGTTGACCAGCAGCGTCTCTCGCTGACTCTCTCTCTCCATTACCGGCCACCGTTTTGTACGGACGTGCTTCCTATCTCTTATCTATTAGACAAGTCCGTCCGTCCGTCCGTAGTGCTGTTTCAGCGGCCAAACCGTAAGAGATAGATATAGAGAATGTTTAAGTTATAAGTTAAGAATAGTCTGATAAGACTACAAACCGGATGTGAGTAACGTAGCACTTCCGGTTTTCGAGAAATCACGTGATTTCTATTTCAAACGAAACCACAGAAAATCTCCGAAGTTCTCAATTAATTAAATACAATTATTATTATTATTATTTTGGTGAACATTTGGTTCACTGGATTGCTAGTTATATCTAATTTAACTACTTCTGAGTAAGTCCTAGCCATAATACCAAGTTTTCCAGTGTCTGTACTTACAGTGTATTTACCTTTGTGTCTGTATGTGCATAAATATACCTTGACCGATGAACCAATGTTTGTGTTACTACCATTCAACCTAACTACAGTCCGCTACCAACCGAACAAAGTCATGAAGTTTACGGCGATCCTGAACTCGGATTAAAGTCCTCTACGCACTATCCATCTTGCTGGATCCAGCATGCGGGACAGTGCTATACGCGTAAAAGAGATCCTGTATCTCCATCTCTTTTACGTATATAGCGCTGTCCCGCATGCTGGATCCAGCAAGATGGATAGTGCGTACAGGACTTTAGGCATGGTCCATTATTTCCTCCATGGGGCTTATTCTTAAACAAACCATGGTCACATTGTTAATTTTGTGTGTGAAGTGTGTTGGTAACTACATGTTGTTAAAGTTGTCGTGATTTGTATAGATGGAGCGAGGTGTATGGGTTGACTCGCCTTGCCATTGGCCAGATTGTGATGCGGGGTTCGAGGCGTGTCGTGTGTGGTTTCTTACAAAATACAATTTTTTGAAGTGAAACTTCTTTAGGCACACTTGACTTGGGGTTAAACTGGCGAATGTTAGTGTCATCGGTGACTCATCGGTAAACACTGAACAATACCCGTCATAAAATACATGTATCTAGTGTTTGATGACTGATAACGGACCCAGTATGGATTGGTGGGTGATAACGGACCCAGTGCGGATTGGTGGGTGATAACGGACCCAGCGAGGATTGGTGGACTTTTCTATCAACAAATCTTCAGGTTAAGTTTATGATTTTCAGATCATTAGAGCTAAAGAAGTTTCACTTCGGTCGTGTGGTCATAAGCACACTCGCTTTTTTTTTGACATTTGACGCGTATCAAGATCACGTTCAACTATTCGAATTCGAAGCACGAACCAATATCGAATTCGTAACGTTTGCGAGTCCGAAATGTCATTGTCAAATGTGTACTGATTTTTAGTTCTCGTTACGGTAAGTTTTCATACAAAATTTGACATTGACATTTAGCACTCGCAAACTATTCGAATTCGATAATGGTTCGTGCTAGGGTACAGATCTTACCTTGCTGTTGGCCAGCTTGTCGATGTTTTCTCGTAGCAGATGGTCTGTAGCGGTGAGTTTAGTGGCCAGCTCGTGGTGTAGGGCGGCTACTAGGGGTTCGAGTCCCCGCGCAGCTCCAACGCCGGCTGCTTGGGCCGCGCGACTGCTGGCTGCTTCCCCCATACGGGATATACGCTCGAAACTGGGTGACGGGAAACAAAACAAAGCGATATACAACAATGAACAAGATAATTATAGTGTATCAAAGTAAATTGAAATAAACAAAACATTAGTTTTAACTATGTGGTGTGTAGTTAGTAATAGAACGACGCGACATAAAGCAGCGAACAAGAAAATGATTAGGTATAAATTCGAAGTAATTGGTTTAATTTTTCTGATGATGTCATTCATGTCATGTTGGTAAAGAATGAGTAACTTATTGTAAATTACAGTAGGAACATAAAGTATAAGAAAACAGAAACTAAGTATTGTTTGTTATTATAAGTAGCCGTATTTTGCTGCGCAGTGAGTTAAGCTGCATCATGCTGCAGAATGAATGGGCCGGCCATCTCGACCGGAGCGATAGTACGATCTCACAGAATACCGGTTTGAAGCAGTACTATGCTGCTGTGTTTCGCCGAGTAAGTGAGACTACCAGCGTGCGTCGTGCCTTCCCCGCGCGTGTGTCAGTTAGGGATTAAACGATACCATCTAGGTATCGATACTTTTATTCGATACTGTATCGGTCATAAAGTATCGATGCCTACTCGGTATCGAATGAAAAGTAGCGATACATATTTGTCGATAAATTTTGATGAACGATATTACAGTCTCAGTTTTAATTTAACGAAAACAAAATAACGGCTCACCGCACGCGATGAAAGAATGACTGACTGAATAAATTGAAATAATAGGGATGATGACTAATTTTTTTTTCTTCGTTTATCAGGTAGATTATCAAAAAGTATTGGACACGTATTTTTTCTTTTTTCACATAATATAAACATTGCAGAGATATATTGATTTGAAAAGTCGCATGACGTCACGTTTGAGTACACTTATAAGTGAAAATTCACTCAAAAGTGACGTCACGAGCCCCTACTCCCAAACTTTGACACGCTATAACTTTGTCATTTTTTGGTTGATTGTCCAAAGAAAAAATACGTGTCCATTATTTTTTGATCATCTTACTGACGGACTAAATAGAATTTCGTTTACTGTACCCCGTCATCACTCCTATTATAAATCATACGCAAGGCTGTCAACTGAGCACAAGAAAAGATGCGTTCGCGAATCAAAACTTCCAACCATGTCTGGTTGGATAGAGTAAATAATAATCTGCCTACGAGTTTTTTAGATACTTCTCCGTGAGTGACCGACCGAGTACCGATACAAGTACTTACTTCACGATACTACTTGTTACTTAGTTCTAAAGTATCGATGCTAAAAGTACTTGACATCGAAAGAAAAGTATAGATAGATAGATAATGCGGTTATTTTTTCTTCAACATACATATACATTTACAGACAGAGTAATACAATAAAAAAAAAGATACAAGAAATCAGTTATGTAATATCCATATGTATGCTGCAGAAAGCAAAAGGCCAAGGCACGGTAATATTATCTATACAGTATTGTGACTCCGCCCTGTCCTTGAAAATAAATGCCTACACCGAACGCTGCGTTGGCACGCGGTAGGGCCGCCCGCCTACAGTATTTTATGTAGTTTTGTTTTTAACGCGAGTGTAGGTAGATTACTAGTTTGTCTCTTTTTTCATCCTAACCACTTATTTATATATTATTCCAGATATTTTGCCCGATGGAAAAACCGAAATACCTAAATATTAGAAACAAATAACGTACTAGTAGATAGGTATATAAAAAATATTCTATAAAGGAAGACACCTTTCCAATATTTCAGGTAATTTAAAAAATGATATCTCTGGGTGTGTTATTGAAGAGTTCAAGCAACCAAAAACAGCAATTGTGCTGTTGTACGATATCGATCGTCGTTTGTTCTTTTCCATACTAAATTATGTAGGTATCTACTTAATTAAATCAAATATTTACAATACAAAACGCATGTTTAAGCACGGCTAACTGCATAAAAAACAATTCAGACCGTTCGGTCGTCGTTGCGGCGCAGCGGCGCATTCGCGACTGGGTGCACGCCGAGAGCACATCGACCTCGAGTGGCGTAGGTATGACTCGCTTTCCGACCGTTTGTATGAAGATAGGATACTGTATGATATTATTACCGTGGCCAAGGTTCGGCTAAACATTTGCCAGTTTTAAGGCATAAAACCGATTTTCAGCCATCACCTTAAGTATCGAGTAGTTACTTGTATTTACTCGTATCGTTTCGTCCCTTTTTTTTTTTAATACGCAGGTAAAAAATCTATTTACAGACGACGGCGCCTTTAAGAGGCACACCGCCGAACGGACCTCACACCTGGCTCCCGCAAGTCTTACGAACCCCCCAGTGGCTGCCCACCGAGGACCCCGCAACTCTTACGGGCGCTTTACGGTATAATATCCGCTAAAAAAGTCCTGCGAATACCCTATAAGCTGCTTAGCGCGAAGCCGCGGGATCCCCGTTTAGGGATTCTCCGCGTCTCCGCACCTAGCAGCCTCCCGGCCAAGCCGGGGCTCCACGGCAGGGGGCGCGCGCGCGGGGGCTGAGTACGCGGCCTAATCGTTTCGTGTTCTATATAAGTCTGTATATAAGAAACAGAGGCAAAAAAAATATAAAAAAGAAACTTAACCTAAGAACAAAAATTAATCACTATATAGATTTAAGACGGCCAATCAGGACCCTGCTGAGGCAGGTTTATGCTGATACAATGAGAAAATATTCTCTCACTGTATCAGCGCTGGTATTCTGGCAGGGCCTGTTTGAGGACGTGTTAGGCACTATAAAGCAAACAAAATAACAAGTATATTTAGTGTATTATTCAATGTAACATTAACTGATATGTACTAAAGGATTCATGTAATGCATAAGAATCTCTAGCAAACGGGCTTTAAGAGGATTTGAGCCTGGGGGTCGTAACACAGGTTTTGTAACCTAGTACAATCTCCAGCTCTCTCAAAGAACTGCATCGTTATTACTGTTTTGTCATTCAATACCCTTTAATTAACTATAATGTTACTTTGTGAGAGAAAATAAATAAATCATTCATTCATTCATTTGGTGTCGATTCTGGCGTGACTCTCCGAACCCAAAACGTGTGTCAGTTACCCGTCAGAGAGCGCGTCTCGCACGACGGTGGCGGTGCGGTCGGTGTGCGCGTGCAGCGCGGCATCCACCAGCGAGCGCGGACTGTGCACCGACCCGCGGAGGCTGCGCAGCTCCCGGCTCTGCGCCGCCACCAGCTCTGCAGGACAAAACAAAACGGTAACAGAGATGTCCGAGTAAAGGCCTAAAAAACACTTGTGGAAATTCAACACGGCACGGTTTGGTAGCATGATTGGTTAACGCGTCCACCCGAATATTCACTATCCGTTGCAGGGTTCGAATACCCGATGAATCCTGAATCTAGTGGATTTTTTACTAGTCCAATTTTCTTTCGATTAATACAATGTTTAATTTACATTTAAAGAATAAATTATAAATAAATTATTTATCTACCTATGGAAATAAATGATAAAAAACAAAAATAGGTAATCTCGTATCACAAAAACATTAATCATAATAATCATAATCATAATCAAAGTCATTTATTCAGTTTAGGCTGTTACAAGCACTCATGAATGTCTAGAAGCTACGCCATCGGTTCGTAAATCTACGGCGGGAGACCTTGTACTGAGAAGAACCGGCAAGAAACTCAGCAAGGGCTGTTTTTTTTCTCCCTGTTTTATTATTTACAGAGTCGTCAAATTGAAAAATAACTTCAGAGATGATTCATGAAGTCACCTTTCATTACATAATTATTAAATATACATTAATTGTTTACCTGCATTGTGATTGCTGTGTCATACAGTATAATTACAAATAGTGTTATTTATATTAAGTGTGAGAGCATTTGTGCTCATAGTAAATACAAATAAATAGACTGTAGCTATCTCCAATTATTTTCTTTCGATTTATACAATGTTTAATTAATATTTAAAGAACAAATTATAAATAAATTATTTATCTTCCTATGGAAATAAATGATGAAAAACATACAATAGGTAATCTCGTATCACAAAAAACATTTGTTCTCATAGTAAATACAAATAAATAGACTGTAGCTAGTAAGCTAATTACTAAAACTGCCCACAAACTGAAACAGTTTGGCAGAATAGAAATAAGTGTTTTACTTAGTTTTCATTAAAAAAATAATAAATAAAATAAAAACGCCGGCTAGTTGAACGCTTTGGCAAACAAATGCATGCATAATTGTATGGCCAGCACTTTACTTGGGTATTTGTAGACATGACAACAGTCTGTTCTTATCATGCTTTATATGGAATGAAAAGGGCAAAATGATGTCAAGTTTACAAATAGTCAACGCAAATGACCAAGTTAAATGCCAGCATAAGGCATATATGAAATAAAGTTTGTCAGGGAGGCAGTATATATGAGCCTATAAACTGTCCTGCTGTTTCATGACAATCATGTCATATAATATACCAATATCAGCTCTTTCTTCTTGACCGGATACAAGGACGGACGGTTCGACTCATCGATGATTCTAAGCTCACTAACGCAGTGTAACCCCTTAGAATGAAGAATGTTCTGAGGAATTGTTCAATCTGGTGCCAGCGACCAAGTTCCTTCAGAACGAACTTCCCTAGCGGTGTCCCCTAATTAACTATGATATGACGGTCTTCAAAGGCAGGCCATTTCCTTTACATCAAAGCTGGCAACTTAAGAGTACCCTTAGTGTTGCAAGTGTCCATGTACGGCAGTGACCACTTACCATCAGGTGGACTGTCAGCTCGTTTGCCTGCATAATCATAAAGAAGCAGTCCAAAAAATTAAGCATTGTAGCCATCAGTTTGTCTATCTTGTGGTCGAGCACCAACAGCCGCAAGCGGTCGGAAGGCAGCAGCGACGCATTGAGCGACTGGTTGCTCGACTAGTCACAGGTATACATAAATATACCTGTTGATTGCCCGGAACTCCTATCAAAGACCTTGTTTGGAGTTCCCCCTAAACCCCTTAGGATTAATTCATCCATTAAATTATCGGCAGAACGCTTTTCTTTGTCTAGCAAGTAGCAGCTTCAATTCACTATCAAAACAGGTAAATTTAGATCTTTTTAACACTAGCGAAGCGTCGATTAGACGTATCATTGCTCTTTTGCTTTTTGGAGATCATAATGAACAGGTTCGTAATTTGTTGTTTTGTTATTAATTATATACAGACCTCATTTATAAAACTATATTTAAGATTCTTTTTTACATTGGACAGTGCAAATAGTTTCTTTTTAACTTTAAGTGTCGCCGCACACGGGCCACCGACCACAACCACAAAACGCCGCCACCGGCATATTTCTTGTAGTTTTCATACATTTTATATGAACTCGCCACACACGGTACGCCGGTGGCCGCCAAACGCTACAGATCGTCGTTGCTCGCTTCTTGTGGCCAGCACCGGCCACTTAATGCGCCGATACAAAACGCCGACACACGTCACTCGCGCGATTCCCCACCCCTCTCTCCCTTACCTTAGTCGGCCGCTGTCGCGCGCTTCAGCCACTTTAGAAGCCGCTTTGGTGGCGTGTAGCCCGTGTGCGGCGACACTGCGTTATGTCTAGATGTGAGGACCTGTAATTGCCTCTTTATCGCTACTATTTATTTCTAGTTTATTAAAATAAGCTGTTGGTCTTCCATGTAACCAAAATAAATAAATATAGTGCAGCACAGTACCCGTCAGTTTGTCTATCTTGTGGTCGAGCGCCAGTAGCCGCGAGCGATCGGCGGGCGAGAGTCGGTCGGCGGGCTGCAGCGACGCGTTGAGCGACTGGCTGCTCGACTTGTCGCTCGACGCCTTGCGCTGGTTGGCTTCAGATATCTGCGCCATCGAGATCTGCGGCCACGACGTGTCGCTGTCTGCAAAGGAAACATTTATAACCAACCTTATTAAATAAAACTAGCAAACCAGTGAACCAAATGTTCACCAAAACCTGATTTAAAAAAAAAATGTATTTAATTAATTGAGAACTTTGGAGATTTTGTGTGGTTTCGTTTGAAATTCGTGATTTCTCGAAAACCGGAAGTGCTACGTTACTCAAATCCGGTTTGTAGTCTTATCAGACTATTCTTAACTTATAACTTAAACATTCTCTTTATCTATCTCTTACAGTTTGGCCGCTGAAACAGCACCACAGACAGACGGACGGACGGACTTGTCTAATAGATAAGAGATTAGTTTTCACGGGTTAACGCACGAACTTTATTTATTTATTGACGTTTGGCAGCCTTTTCAGGTCTGTATCGTCAGAATAATGTTTTTTTATTTACTTTGTCGAGCTACTTATTATTCTTCAGTACTAGCTCGACATGCTGAAGTTCAGCTGCCAGGTGTTGTTTGTCAACCTTATTACCACAAATAAGTAAAACATACGGCAATTAGGATTTCGGTAGCAGAACTCCGCCTGGACTGCCGAAGGTGAAGCTTCGAATCCTGTCTGAAACCCCTAACATGATGACCGCGACATGATATATAGCTCGTTTTTATGGCCATAAATGTGATAAATTACAGTTTACACTATTCTAAATCAAAAAAGACTACAATTTCAACTCAGTCCAGTCCCCGTAGATTAGCACCACATCTATTATTCATTATTCCCATTGTTATCGCGTCTAACTGTCAAAGTCCATAGTAATTTAACAATAGGGTATTTATGATTTTTTTTTCTAGTAAACTTTTCTTTAAATCTAAATAGGGTATTTGACAAGTTTTAGAAAACGATCTCACGTTATTGACTAATGTTTAGTTATTTGGATATTTACTATTCTGTTGTGTATTTCAGTAAAAATAACCAAATCAAAAACTCCATTTTCAATTTGCCGCGGAAACGTTTTTCTGTACAATATGGCGTCTTACTAGTGTGTGACGTCACACAACTATTATTAAAACGTCAAACGATACTTTGTAATGTCACTTTAACCGGAAGTTTACTTGCGTTTGACGTCATCTTAGGCTCCGCCAATAGATAAGAAAACTATTTTCTTTTTCGTAGGTTTTTAGTAAAATTATGTTTTTTTTAATAAAAGTAAAAAAATAGTGAAAACCCCTGCCAATATTCATTCTAAACACAGATGCTTACAATTAGCTTTATTTTTAATACTGTCAAATACCCTATTGAGCGTGATACTGACTGATTTTGGCAGGCGCGGTGTCCGTAGCAGCATATATCTCGTTTGAGGTGAAGACATCGTCCGCGGTATCCACTTCCGCTTCCGCCGCTACTTCACTCGTGAGCGCGTCAGCTACGTCCGTTTCCTCCTCTTCCGGTTCCTCGTTTTCCTATGGATACAAGATTAGTACATTAATATATAAAATAATAATAATCAATTTATTTCGACCAGCATGCATCATAGTAGGTGTGATAATGACAATAAAAGACGAGCGAGCCTTACAGTAGTCGCGTATGATGTGTAACATTAACATATGTAACATTTGAAACCTCACCTTATATTAGTAAAAAAAGAAATAAATGAAATAGCGCGCTTTCGCGATTTCCTGTTACACACTTCCATCCCATTTCACTAAATCACTCCCACAAATTGCAGGAAAGTGAGAAGAAAGATGTTACACATCCAATAATTATAGTAAAGAAAATCTTTAAATTAAATTACGTCTTTAAAATTCAATTACCAATAAAAGCATTACAAAACATATTACAAACATCAAACATGTTAAATTCATCGACAAAACTGTGGAATATGTTATCGCCAGCAGTGTTTCCGGACCGATACGACCCAAAAACCTTCAAAAAAAGAGCGTACTCCTTCCTTAAAGGCCGGCATCGCATTTGTGATACTCCTGGTGTTGCAAGTGTCCATGGGCGGCGGTGATCACTTACCATCAGGTGAGCCGTTTGCTCGTATGCCCCCGTATAACATAAAAAAAAAAACTTCTAAAAGAGTTGAAATGTCAAAATTTGTTATTAGATTTGATATAAAATGGCAAAATAAAAAAAAATATTTAAAAATGAAATATCAAAATTATAAGTCAGATAGAGTACTCTTCTACTGTTCTAAGCATTATGCTACGTTAGTTGCAGTTAAGCAACTTTAGCAGTGGTCGGTCATTAGATGGGTGACCAAAAATTTACTATTTCGAGCTCCTCGGTGCTAAGGAAGACACGTTAAGCTATTGCTCACGGCTGCATCTGAAGTCATTAGCACCCACCAATGGGCCCGCGTTGTGGGACATGGCTCAATCTTCCTTCCATTTAGTGGGAAGGCCAGTGCTCCAGCAGAAGGGGCATTATTAGGCCGACAATGATAATGACATTATGCTACTAAAACAATTTTGCTAACAGGTTCTCCATTTCATTCTGTATGACAAGACAAGGATTTTTAAATTTTAATCTTGACAGTCCAACCAGAGAATATAGATCCAAACCACCATTTTCGACCTCCTTGGCCGAGTGGTTTGTACGCCGGGTTTCATGGTGTCGCCGACTCGAGAGGTCCCGGGTTCGAATCCAGGTGGGGGCAGATGTTTGTGTGATGAATACTAGCATTTGTACTCCAGTCATGGATGTTTAATATGTAATTCTATATAAATATACTTATATATGTACAGTATATGTATTCTATCCGTTACCCTAGTATTCCATAACACAAGCCTTATAGTGCTTACTTTGGGACTAGGCTAATTGGTGTGAGTGTTGGCAATATTTATTTTATTATTATTATTATTTTGGGCCATCCTTATAGAAGCGAGTTGCATTTCGTAATACAAACTGCTACACTTCCCTACCAATCGTCGTATCGTTTGCGAGACCGAAATGTCATTGTCAAATGCGTACTGATTTTTAGTTCACGTTACGCACTTTGTGCCGCTGATGTTCAAGTTTCCATACAACATATGACATTGATATTTCGGTTTGCAAACTATTCGAATTCGATAATGGTTCGTGCTAGGGGTACTGTATCTAAAAGCACGAACCAATAGTGAATTCGATCTCGATAGATGTCAAATGACATAATGTTTTGTATGGAAGATTTTTTAAACTCTGTTACATCCGTTGTAGTGCTGTACAATTTTCCATACAAAACTTCTTGACGTACAACTAGTATCGAGATTACAGTCAAAACCAGATATTAAGATATTGAAGGGACCGTAATAACTTCGGACGTTATGTCCAATAGTAGGGGAGCCCACGATGCTAAATGGGGATTTACTCGAGCGTCGTGGAGACCTATTGAATTTTGAAGATCAGATGGTAGAAAGAAAAAAAGGTTAAATGATGCATACCCTTTCACCGGTGGGACAAGCGTCTAGAAGCTTTCAAAAATGTAAAAAGTCACATGGAAATACTCGAGCAGATTAAGGTATGGTGGTGATCGGCTGGTCTACGCGCACAGCACTACATGGAGACCTCAGATTTGGTAGAAGTACTCAACTAGATGTAAGGTATCTTCCCATATATTAATCTGCCGCGCTCGAGTAAATCCCCAAATCCCCTCTTGGGCTCCCCTATTACAATAGTTGTTATGAACAATATGCACAAATAGAGACGCCCGACGTCGTGCGGGTAGTAGGCGCGCTCGTTGTGGCCCATGATCTGCCGCACCTCGCGGCTGGGGCTGGAACCGCCCGACGTCAGCTCCCCGCCGCCTCAGTAGCCGGTATAGTCACCAGGTCGTGCGGGTAGTAGGCGCGCTCGTTGTGGCCCATGATCTGCCGCACCTCGCGGCTGGGGCTGGAACCGCCCGACGTCAGCTCCCCGCCGCCTCAGTAGCCGGTATAGTCACCAGGTCGTGCGGGTAGTAGGCGCGCTCGTTGTGGCCCATGATCTGCCGCACCTCGCGGCTGGGGCTGGAACCGCCCGACGTCAGCTCCCCGCCGCCTCAGTAGCCGGTATAGTCACCAGGTCGTGCGGGTAGTAGGCGCGCTCGTTGTGGCCCATGATCTGCCGCACCTCGCGGCTGGGGCTGGAACCGCCCGACGTCAGCTCCCCGCCGCCTCAGTAGCCGGTATAGTCACCAGGTCGTGCGGGTAGTAGGCGCGCTCGTTGTGGCCCATGATCTGCCGCACCTCGCGGCTGGGGCTGGAACCGCCCGACGTCAGCTCCCCGCCGCCTCAGTAGCCGGTATAGTCACCAGGTCGTGCGGGTAGTAGGCGCGCTCGTTGTGGCCCATGATCTGCCGCACCTCGCGGCTGGGGCTGGAACCGCCCGACGTCAGCTCCCCGCCGCCTCAGTAGCCGGTATAGTCACCAGGTCGTGCGGGTAGTAGGCGCGCTCGTTGTGGCCCATGATCTGCCGCACCTCGCGGCTGGGGCTGGAACCGCCCGACGTCAGCTCCCCGCCGCCTCAGTAGCCGGTATAGTCACCAGGTCGTGCGGGTAGTAGGCGCGCTCGTTGTGGCCCATGATCTGCCGCACCTCGCGGCTGGGGCTGGAACCGCCCGACGTCAGCTCCCCGCCGCCTCAGTAGCCGGTATAGTCACCAGGTCGTGCGGGTAGTAGGCGCGCTCGTTGTGGCCCATGATCTGCCGCACCTCGCGGCTGGGGCTGGAACCGCCCGACGTCAGCTCCCCGCCGCCTCAGTAGCCGGTATAGTCACCAGGTCGTGCGGGTAGTAGGCGCGCTCGTTGTGGCCCATGATCTGCCGCACCTCGCGGCTGGGGCTGGAACCGCCCGACGTCAGCTCCCCGCCGCCTCAGTAGCCGGTATAGTCACCAGGTCGTGCGGGTAGTAGGCGCGCTCGTTGTGGCCCATGATCTGCCGCACCTCGCGGCTGGGGCTGGAACCGCCCGACGTCAGCTCCCCGCCGCCTCAGTAGCCGGTATAGTCACCAGGTCGTGCGGGTAGTAGGCGCGCTCGTTGTGGCCCATGATCTGCCGCACCTCGCGGCTGGGGCTGGAACCGCCCGACGTCAGCTCCCCGCCGCCTCAGTAGCCGGTATAGTCACCAGGTCGTGCGGGTAGTAGGCGCGCTCGTTGTGGCCCATGATCTGCCGCACCTCGCGGCTGGGGCTGGAACCGCCCGACGTCAGCTCCCCGCCGCCTCAGTAGCCGGTATAGTCACCAGGTCGTGCGGGTAGTAGGCGCGCTCGTTGTGGCCCATGATCTGCCGCACCTCGCGGCTGGGGCTGGAACCGCCCGACGTCAGCTCCCCGCCGCCTCAGTAGCCGGTATAGTCACCAGGTCGTGCGGGTAGTAGGCGCGCTCGTTGTGGCCCATGATCTGCCGCACCTCGCGGCTGGGGCTGGAACCGCCCGACGTCAGCTCCCCGCCGCCTCAGTAGCCGGTATAGTCACCAGGTCGTGCGGGTAGTAGGCGCGCTCGTTGTGGCCCATGATCTGCCGCACCTCGCGGCTGGGGCTGGAACCGCCCGACGTCAGCTCCCCGCCGCCTCAGTAGCCGGTATAGTCACCAGGTCGTGCGGGTAGTAGGCGCGCTCGTTGTGGCCCATGATCTGCCGCACCTCGCGGCTGGGGCTGGAACCGCCCGACGTCAGCTCCCCGCCGCCTCAGTAGCCGGTATAGTCACCAGGTCGTGCGGGTAGTAGGCGCGCTCGTTGTGGCCCATGATCTGCCGCACCTCGCGGCTGGGGCTGGAACCGCCCGACGTCAGCTCCCCGCCGCCTCAGTAGCCGGTATAGTCACCAGGTCGTGCGGGTAGTAGGCGCGCTCGTTGTGGCCCATGATCTGCCGCACCTCGCGGCTGGGGCTGGAACCGCCCGACGTCAGCTCCCCGCCGCCTCAGTAGCCGGTATAGTCACCAGGTCGTGCGGGTAGTAGGCGCGCTCGTTGTGGCCCATGATCTGCCGCACCTCGCGGCTGGGGCTGGAACCGCCCGACGTCAGCTCCCCGCCGCCTCAGTAGCCGGTATAGTCACCAGGTCGTGCGGGTAGTAGGCGCGCTCGTTGTGGCCCATGATCTGCCGCACCTCGCGGCTGGGGCTGGAACCGCCCGACGTCAGCTCCCCGCCGCCTCAGTAGCCGGTATAGTCACCAGGTCGTGCGGGTAGTAGGCGCGCTCGTTGTGGCCCATGATCTGCCGCACCTCGCGGCTGGGGCTGGAACCGCCCGACGTCAGCTTGTGCAGCTCCCCGCCGCCGACGCCGCCGCTGCCGCCTCCGCTGCCGCTGCCGCTCGTGACTGTGCCCGCTGCCTCAGTTGCCGGTATACCTGCGTGATATATGGAACAAAAAATCAACTGGCGATCTTGAACTTAGTTTATGGGCGAATTTAGAACGAACATTTTAAGACGAAAAATGAAATAAATAACAGACAATACCAAAATTGGTGAACTATTATGTCAGATTCCATGATTATTATGACTGATATTAGTTTTATTGTCCAAAATATGGATATTAGACAAATAAAAAAGAGCGTCCTCCTTCCATAAAGGCCGGCATCGCATTTGTGATACTCCTGGTGTTGTAGATATAATAAAAATCGAGTCAATCACCATATAATTCACAACAACATAGCATTTCGATCCATTTGCACACGTATATTACCTTGATTTGAGGGGCGCTGCGTGGGCTGCACGTCGGGCGTGGCCGACAGGGGAGGGTCGTCTTCCTCGCGCTTGCCCGGGGAACTAACATAAAACGTCATGAAATTAACGCATGAAAAACGAAATACTTTTTTGGGGAATTTGGTAATGAGACACTGGCATCACTTAGAAAATGTCAAGATGGAGTTGTAATTTTTTTACCTAATATGATGATATAGTTTTTGTTTTTTAAAGTGAATAATGAGTAACATCCCGATGGTAAGTGCCTTTTTTGTCGTTTTATGTGTCTTTCACAATTTTCATAGCGCGCAACTCGGCTATTTTAAGAAATAATTTCAAAACGAAACTCAGTAATTGTCGTGTGTATCGGTCAGCGTTACATTGAACACTCAGTGACGGGAAACGACTCATCGTCATCTGCTCTGCCACTCTCTATCTAGAGAAAAAATAATCAAAGAGAAACACATATGAAACATCCATGACTGGAGTACAAATGCTCGTATTCATCACACAAACATCTACCACCGGGATTCGAACCCGGCTTACAAAAGCATTTGGCCATGGAGGTCGTGAAATAGATATGATAGGCATATTTTAATAGAATTTTCACATAATTCTTGACGCTTTTGGATCCCCTGTATGTAAAGGTACTTTTAGTAATTATTTTTATTTTTTAAACATCTCTAAACCTAGCAAACGAATTTTCTAAAAATATTGTGATAATTATGTACCTGAAGGCGTCGGGAGTCATGAGATTAAGCGGCGGCGCGATAGTAGGGGACTCGGCGCGTGGCACTATCAAACTGCCCGGCTGAGTCTGTAAACCATACCAGACCTTAATTCTACAAGCAGAAGAGCGACTATCGAATGTTTGCAGCAAGTGAAAAGGAAAACTGAGGAGCTGGCGAAAAAAGACGGTATAATTACATAAACTCAAATTTACAGGAGCTTTTGGCATGGTTTTTAATTTATATATTTAGTAATTTTAACATTGTTATCATTTTATTTTTTTAAGCACGTTACTGCTTGATGTTTAAATCTAAAGAAAATATAACTAGAAATAAATTCTACGCGGACCAGGCAGCAGACGGGACTCGAACCCGCACCCTTCGCAATCCGGGCGAATGCACTGACCAATAATGCTACCACAGCCCTGATGGCCGCGCCGAAATTCCTCTAGCCATTCTTAAGCTGCAAGGCAGCGCCATCTCTTCACATTATAGGTAACACACAATGTCAAATGAATACTTTTACAAGTATTAAACATTAGAAAGAAGAGATAGCAATTATAGTTGTAATTTTAATTTTTTAAACATGTTACTGCTTCATGTTTAAATCTAAAGAAAATATAACTAGAAACAATTCCACTTAGCTAATTATCACTGACAATCTTACTTACACATGTTGTTACAAATAAAATTTCTTTCTTTCTTTCTTTCACGCGGACCAGGCAGCAGACGGGACTCGAACCGCACCAATTTTAACACTGTTTTAAGCGGTTTTGATTGAAAATTATTTGAGATTCAAATTCAACGAGCCCGAAAACTCTGGACTGTAAAAAAAAATAGTTCCACCAGATGCGTAATTATACCGTTTTTTCGCCAGGTCCTCAACTATGTTTTTCGATATTGAAGTCCGAAGTATAGGTGCTCATACGCAATGGAGGTTAACCGCGTAGCAGCTTTTTCTTTTTAGTATGCAACCGCGTGTGATGTTGTTGCTATATCGAGTGCGTACGATCACACGCTGTTGCATACTAAAATGAAAAAGTGATAGCCGCCTACGACACGAAACACATCAATAATGCTTTGCATTTTACATAATTACGGCAGCGTTATTTCATCTAAAGTAAAATTTGACTTTAGTTAATGTCACATCGTTGTGAGCGCAGCACCAATAGCGCCATCTCTCGAGGAGGTAAACATCTCTTTAGAATAGGCGTCTCGGACAGTCCTCTGTGCAGAGCCTGCATGGAGGAGGAGGAGACGGCCACTCCTGCTAGTGCAGAGGCTAGACCAGAAAACGGATGACACTTCTGAGCAGCCCGAAGACGCAGCTAGAGGCCTGCGGGGACGTCAGGAGACTGCTGAGTTTGTTGGGAAGCTGAGATGGCATGACTAAAGCCATCCATTTACGCAAAATAGGCACCTGGTGTCGAGTTGCGCAGAACGGCCACCGTATAAGAAGCCATACATATAACCAACATGGAAGAAGTACACAGACTTACGTAAGTCACTCGCCTCGTCAAGAGATGGCACTACCGGCGCTGCACTTGTAAAGTCTGGAAGCCTACATCGCGCAAGGGAAATTCGGAAGCTAGCTCTTCATAAATAATATGCCCGATCAACATCAGTCAGGCAGCTTTCCCCGAGCTACCATGACCCAGCTCGGACAGAGATCTTTCTACGCATCATAGGGAAGAAGACCTGTGCCCCATCAGTGGGAACATTAATAGACTGGCAATGACGATAATCAAAAAGAATGCTACGGATATATTATGCCTATCCCGGCACACGAACCTGGGACCGCATGAGCAGGTTCTGGAGCTGCTGGCTCTGCTGCTGCAGGATGCTGGACTGGAGCCCGGGGACCTCGCCCGCTCCTGCTGGCACTGGGACTGCGTCTTCTAGTGCTGTTGGCAAACCATAGACTTAGTATTTAAAGACTGAAAAGAGTGAGGAATAGTACATTGTTCACCGAGAGGAGAAAGTGACCGATTACCAAGGAGGGTGTTGTTTGAGGCCCGAAGCGCTGCCAGGGGTCTTAACACAGCCAATATATTGTTTAAAATCTCATGGTCACTAACATTATAGCTATTAACGGGATTATTACCGTGTACCTTGTTTTTTATGAGTCCCAAAAATCTAAAAAGTGTCGTTCCGCGATCTGATACTATGAGTATTGTGTGTCGAGAACAGGTCAGAATTGGTAGGGCGCAGTAAAAGACGACGTCAGAGGGTAGACCGATATGTCTGCCAATAACATCTACACGAAATTACTTCATTTACTCCGTGATCATAGTGCTTGCAACAGTGCCGAAATATCGGAGACTCATAAAAAACAAGGTACATGGTAACAATCCCGTTAATAGCTTTAACACGACCAAGTTGGGAATAGCACTTTCTTTGGAAGGATACATAGTGCTTAGGTATAGTATAATACCTGCAAGGAAATAAACGACAAATTCTATAGTTATATTTTTTTTTTTTTAAAGCATGTAAGTGCTTGATGTTTAAATCTAAAGAAAATATAACTAGAAAAAAATCCACGCGGACCAGGCAGCAGACGGGACTCGAACCCGCACCCTTCGCAATCCGGGCGAATGCACTGACCAATTATGCTACCGCGGCCCTCACGGACCGCGTCGAAATTCCTCTAGCCATTCTTAAGCTGCAAGGCAGCGCCATCTCTTCGCATTATAGGTAACCCACAATGTCAAATGAATACTTTTACAAGTATTAAACATTTGAAAGAAGAAATAGCAATTGTTGAGAACAAAGATCGTGCTGGGTCCTTAAAATAAATTTACCGACAATTAAATCTAAAATACGAAAAACCTTATAAAAAATTCATAGTTATAATTACTATTTTTTTAAAGCATGTAACTGCTTGAAAATATAACTAGAAAAAAATCCAAAAAAATTCATGCCTGGTCCGCGTGGATTTTTTTCTAGTTATATTTTCTTTAGATTTAAACAAATTCTATATTTGACTAGAGGTCGCCCGCGACTGCGTCTGCGTAAACTTAGTTTCTTTGTAAATCCCTCTGGAACCTAACACTTTTTCGGGATAAAAGTAGCCTATGTGTTAATCTAGGGTGTCAGCTAACTCCATACCAAATTTTATTAAAATCGCTCCAGCCGTTTAGACGTGAAGAAGTAACAAACATACACACTCACATACTCACAAACTTTCGCCTTTATAATATTAGTGTGAAGTGTGATAATACGTGTGTGAGGAGCTCGATGGCGCAAGTGGTTAGCGCGCTAGGCTGCGATCGTTGAAGTTAAGCAACTTTCGCAGTGGTCGGTCATTGGATGGGTGACCAAAAATTTACTATCTCGAATTCCTCCGTGCTTCGGAAGGCACGTCAAGCCGTTGGTCCCGGCTGCATCTGCAGTCGTTAGCATCCACCAATCCGCACTGGGCCCGCGTGGTGGGTCATGGCCCAAACTCCCTATTCCATCCATGGGGAAGGCCTGTGCCCCAGCAGTGGGGACATTAATAGGCTGATGATGATGATGATGATGTGATGATACAGCGCCCACTGACCGTTCCTAGCATGTGGAGTGGGCGGGCAGTACACCAGCTCGCCCTCCTGCAGCCCCTTGGGTTGCACGATGTACAGACGCAGGCGCACGCGCTTCTCTCCCTCGTCTGTACAATCGCCTCCCACTAACGGATCCACATCCTGGTCAACAATAAATCGTTTTAAATTGATGTAAAACATATTTGTTTCTTAGGTTTTCACGCACATCACTCATTAAATAAAACTAGTTTTAACGGATTATTGCACGAACTTTATTTATTTATTTACAGCCTTTTCAGGTCTGCATCGTCGGAATAATGATTTTTGATTTACTTTGTCGAGCTACCTTCGAAAGACTTTTATTGAGCGTTCGGATATTTCATTGGAAGATTTTTAAAATTTAAAACATGCCTTAAGTACACCCAACGAGAAGCGATACAAAGGACATCGACGAAATCGGCCCTAGCATGCCCAAAAGAATGTCCTTCACTATTATTTTTCTATTATTTTTTTAACTTATTAGCAATTAAACATAGTAAACGGACAATCTGTTTAAAAAAATAAAAAATAAAAGTTCTGTTACTAGATACTACAGTCTGTTCATCCAACTTGTCCTATTTGGTAAACAATCTGGGCACTCCTTTTTATTGAAGATACAGCATTAAAAATGAACTGATAACTGAATTCAATAGGTTTCAGTCTATAATAATGATTTATATTAATAGTTTATTGGCTTCGTTAATATTTTATTATTAAATGTGTGATTCTGTTAAAAAGTTGTGCCAAGATTGTTTACCTTAATAAATGCAATATAGGCGACCATAGGTATTTATCAACATAAAAATAGAACTCGGTACCTTAGTTAATAATACTTATTATTAGTATTTATATTATATTTATAAAAAGATTATTTCTGAAATTATGTAAAGATAGTTTATACTCCCATCCCATATAATATCTGTTTATTTTTATGAAAATCATAATGATAACCAGGTACATACCTAATTACCGATAGTAAAATATAGAAACAGGTAAATGGAAAGACTGAACATTTCATTTGAAAAGAAATCTATTATTACCTACTACAGGTAGGTATAGGTATCATAGGTGCCAACTGCCAACACTCATAAATCAATATGAATATAAGCATTTATTATTTTTATTATTAATTGCATTTTATGTTCATTTAATGCATATTATTTAATTGCTTACATAGAGGTAAACACCAAATCTATTCAGAATATATAAAGTGTGCATCTTTTACGATTAAGTAAAATAATTATAACCTCAAAATCTAATACATTCTGTAGTAGGCCATGGTTCCTCAAGTTGTCCGTATCTCAACAAATGCCTAATTACAGTTTATCAATGATTCCGAACACAACTAGCATTTTCTCATTGCTGGGCGTTCTAGGGCATTCAATGTATGGGGAACGAGCAATGTCCTTTAAACCAAATTCGATAAAAGGATACCGACCAATTTTAGGCGTTGCAACGATATTAAATACCCTAGATACACCACGTGCGCTCAAAATGTATTCCAATCAAGAAGTACTTGAACACCACTCAAGCACTACTTGACTCACAGTCACGCACGGACCGTTGAAAAGTCAAGTAGTCACAGAGCTCCGTGAAAAAATAGTTTTAGTATGTAAAGTGTAGTTTATTCGACATGTTTCTAATGTTTGTTGATTTAACGGATGTGAAGCATGTTTTAATACTTACTATAAACTGATTTAATAGAAAATATTTGTGATATTCAAATGTATGATCGTTAATATAGCCGTCTGTTTCTCTCGGAGTCCGTACCTGCTATATTGCTAAGAGCACATTCAGAATTGCGCGTAGAGTCAAAGAAATAAGGTCTATATTCTTCCGCGTATACCAATAAGTCGTACAATTTTATGAGCTTGCATTTCGAACTGTCATAACTCTTTGACGCATGCGTTTTAATTAAGACCTTATAAAGTATGCATTAAAGGTGACTTTCAATGTTTAAATAATATACTACTACTACTTTATATTGTTTTTGACTACGCGATCATTTTATGGAGCTCCGTGGATCGTCCAATGTACCTTTTGGACAGGTTTCGGGCACGATTTTGTTCTTGTTGGTGTATCTAGGGTATTTAATATAGTTGAGGCGTTGGCGAAATTTTTGAAAATGACATTTTATTATTGAAAATTAATATAGGACGTATATCATGTTAATAGGCACATGTTTAAATAAAACGTAGAAAACTATCATTAATATTATCAAAAACAGAAAATCACAAAAGTTCAAATAACATTTTTTTTATGATAATGAGTAGAACGGAAAGACATGAAACGAAATGAAAATATGTCATTATTTTTTATTGTAAAATGGGCGCTCGAATGCTAACGAACTCGGTGCCTCGGCGATGACTTGTCATGACAGAACGAAGCCCTAATAATGTCATATATATGAGATGAAACATACAGTTATTAGACTGCCAGCCCTATAGTGTCGTATTAAGGTGAATGAACTTTTGTATCGCTTCTCATTGGACGTACTTTATGTCCTATAAGAGACGAGAAATAGCATTTCCGTAAAACCGGCAAGATTTTTGACAGTTAGGTGCCGACAAATCTAAAAATTTATTCTAGTATTATTAATGAAAACAGAGTCTACTTCCACACACAGTCAGTTATTGCTATCAATTGACGAGATTTATCAGATTTTTTACTAAACATAAATATGTGGTAAACAAAATTAATATAATGGGTAGCAATATCATATTTCGTTTAGAATTTGTTATTTTAAAGATGATATATTAACGAATAATGTAAGTTTTACAGTGTACTCACATCTTGGTTCAGGTCGAAGTCGTCGGGCGAGTCGGGCACGTCGCCGCCCGAGCCGTTGGTATGGAACGGGTCGTCGCAGCTCGACTCGCATTTCACCTGTTCCTCCTCTACAAATAACAATGGCTGCTTTGATTTATATATCCCTGATTGACGAGACATTTTGTTTCCAAACTAAACTTCCAAAAAAATAAACTTTTAGTATTTAATTAATTTCCTTGTTATACGAATTCTACATTTAACTATTCTTATAAAATAAGGTATTTACTAGTTTGGACAAAGACCGCCCAAAATTATCTTAACGCTTTATTTTTTACTAGTAGCCCGCCCTCGCTTCGTTTCGGTGTTGACTGTAGTTTTTGTTCTAACATATAGCTTATAAAACCACAAATAACGTGGCTTTCTATTAAATTAAAAAAATCAAAATAGGTTCAGCAGATCCAGAGATGACCTTTGAGATTATATCAGTAGATCCAGAATACAGAAGCTCAGAACCGGATACGGCAGCGGGAACTCGCATATAGAATCGACGTGAGCTTGCTCCGAGTCACTGGAGGAGCGCAGCACGTACAAGCAGCGGGCCTTAAAGTAAAAAAAAATCTACTCACCAGCATCTAGAATACAGAAGCTCAGAACCGGATACGGCAGCGGGAACTCGCATATAGAATCGACGTGAGCTTGCTCCGAGTCACTGAAGAAGCGCAGCACGTACAAGCAGCGCGGTGTAAAGTAAAAAAAATCTACTCACCAGCATCCAGAATACAGAAGCTCAGAACCATACGGCAGTGGGAACTCGCATATAGAATCGACGTGAGCTTGCTCCGAGTCACTGAAGAAGCGCAGCACGTACAAGCAGCGCGACGTAAAGTAAAAAAAATCTACTCACCAGCATCCAGAATACAGAAGCTCAGAACCGGATACGGCAGCGGGAACTCGCATATAGAATCGACGTGAGCTTGCTCCGAGTCACTAGAGGAGCGCAGCACGTACAAGCAGCGGGACTTAAAGTAAAAAAAAAATCTACTCACCAGCATCTAGAATACAGAAGCTCAGAACCGGATACGGCAGCGGGAACTCGCATATAGAATCGACGTGAGCTTGCTCCGAGTCGCTAGAGAAGCGCAGCACGTACAAGCAGCGAGACGTAAAGTCTGACACCACCAGGTATCTAGCACTGGCTTCTAAGGCTGCGCGTAACCCAACTAATCCTTCTACGCCCACTGAGGGCGAAGATCCGAATCTAAGAGTCTGCAAGCACTGCCAAGACTTGCACGACCAGATCTTGATTATGGTGTTGTTCTCAGCGCCGGTCACGGCGAATTTCCAGAACTGGACGCTGCAATCGATAATGGATGATTCGTTTGGTTGTCAAAACTCAAATTTAATGTTTCTTTCACACATAGGTATATTCATGAAAAAGTTGTGTAGAAGTTAATTATTTTTACCTGTGTACATTTTTTTTCATGTGTTTTAGATAGCTATAATCTCGCGAGTGCAATATGTAATCAAATAAATAACAAGGGCTATTGTTATATTTTTAAATATAATAATCTCTATTGGCTCTCGTTTAACTCGCTGGTGGAGGAGGTGCTTAAGATGAAGAAAAGAAAAAGTTTTTTTGAAAACATTCAACAAAAACACATACACAAAACTTTGTTTCTGGAACATGTGTCTCTAGACGCGCCGTGTCAGGGCTGCGTTCAAAAACTTCGACAAATTTGACAAGTTTCCTACAATTTATGTCAAAATTGAAACGTCACAGTGAAAAGTTGCACTCGGAGAGGTTTGGAACATATCCCCCGCTAGCGAGTTGTCAATAAAAATGGCCGATGAACCAATACCCTGCCCCTCGACCCGCGCGGGGATGATTTGTGTACGTGTTTTCCACAGGACTTTGTTGATGCAAACAAATATGTGTACTGAAAAAAAGGCTTTGTGTAAACGATTGTGTTGAATGATGATTGTGTAGATAAATCTAGTTTTTACGGGTTAATGCACGAAACTTTATTTATTTATTGACGTTTCGCAAGATAAAATCCCAACCCCAAGCACACACTGCAAGACCAACAGATACTATTAGTTCTTTTTGTTTGCATAATTTAACATAAGAAGGAGATAGAAAGCCTCTCTTGAGTTTGTTTCACCGGTTCTTCTCTGAAAGGTCTCCCAATTTTGGAACCGGTGTTAGTTTATGGTAGTTGGGGTCAAATATATAAACTCAAAATTACAAATTTTTTTTTAAATAAAGTACTTTAATAAGTAAATTAAGTAATAAATTCATACATAGACAATAAAACTTTAAAAATCGAACAATGAAATAACCGAACGCTCAATTAAAGTCTTTTGAAGATAGCTCGACAAAATTAAACAAAAAATAATTCTGACGAAGCAGCCTGAAAAGGCTGCGAAACGTCAATAAATAAATAAAGTTTCGTGCATTATATACATACCCGTAAAAACTAGTTTTATTTAATGAGTGATGTGCGTGAAATCAAATATGATTGTGTAGGCCAAAGCACGCGCTGGAGACCCGGCTTAGTAGGTACTTACTCAGTATTGTAGTGCTTGTGGTTGTCGAGGAAGAACAGGCAGGAGAGCGGCGCTCCCTTGTGAGGCTGCCACTTGTGCAGGCAGCGCGGGCTGCTCTCCGCGTGCATGTAAACCTGTGCCCGCACACAATACATACTAATATTAATCTAGGGACAAACTGAGCCCACGTATAAATAAATAAATAAATAAAATAAATAAATAAATATTTCCAACACTCACACCAATTAGCCTAGCCCCAAGGTAAGCACTGTAAGGCTTGTATTATGGGATACTAGGGTAACGGATAGAATACATATACAGTACATAGTCAACTACCTCCGTGGCCGAGTGGTTTGTACGCCGGGTTTCATGGTGTCGCCGACTCGAGAGGTCCCGGGTTCGAATCCCGGTGGGGGCAGATGTTTGTGTGATGAACGCGAGCATTTGTACTCCAGTCATGGATGTTTAATATGTATTTCTATATTAATATACTTATATATGTACAGTATATGTATTCTATCCGTTACCCTAGCATCCCATAACACAAGCCTTACAGTGCTTACTTTGGGGCTAGGCTAATTGGTGTGAGTGTTGGAAATATTTATTTATTTATTTATATATTAAGTATATTTATATAGAAATACAAATGCTCGTATTCATCACACAAACATCTGCTCCCACCGGGATTCGAATCCGGAACCTCTCGAGTCGGCGTCACCATGAAACCCGGCGTACAAACCACTCGGCCACGGAGGTCGTCAAAACGTATACAACGTATGGTACACATTATGACATTTAAACTACGAAATTTGTATGAAAACATATGACTTGGAAACACACTTGTCATACGAAACGCTGTCACACGCGTCCCATGCAACGTTCGATCTGTCGCGCCAGATCGGCGTGGGAACGTGGAGGGGATAATCATACACTATCCTACGCGTACGACTAGTGAGTTTATAGTTCTACGTTCGCAGCGCGTCAGACACCGATAATTCAATAATGCTATGAATCTCCTCAAACTGTACTTTAGACATGCAGAAGTACATAAAGAAACGCTTTTCATCACATACCAATTTCTTTAATAATGTATGGTATTCACCAACATTTTCTCTTTCTTTGTTTATCTCATGAAGCCAATATCTTCTCTAAACTCTTTTTTTGTTTTTTTTTGGCGCGGAAATTTACATTTAAAAATAACAAACGTAATAAATCGTCCTCGAATTCATTAATACGCCGGGTTTCATGGTGTCGCCGACTCGAGAGGTCCCGGGTTCGAATCCCGGTGGGGGCAGATGTTTGTGTGATGAATACGAGCATTTGTACTCCAGTCATGGATGTTTAATATGTATTTCTACATAAATATACTTATATATGGGGCATTCCACGTGAAGCGGACAGGTAAAAAAACTCGATGTTTCCGATTTCAGTAATATTTGAGTATGTTCTACTTATACTTATTATTGATACGTGTACCAAATATTTTTGTGATATAATGACTAGTTAAAGAGTAATGGGACTTTGAAGTTTTCGACAACCGGTTGGCATGCAGTACTTCGAAGCCGATTATGGACTCATAAAATTATATATTAAAATAACTAAACCACTGGATTTCCTACTTTATTTACTGGGCTTTTTAACTGTGTTTTTGGAAAAGAAAAAAAAATTTTTATCGGAAAAAAAATCCAATTTAAGTTTTTTTCCTTGATTTTCATCAAGTTAGACCATTTACTTTTTTTTTATTTTTTTTTATATAAATTGCTAATATAGTATAGAACATTGGTGCCAACTTTCATAATGGGCGTGAAAGTGGATTAGGAGCTAGACTGAAAATACTGCCGAAGGGTGGCGTCCAGCGCCGCGCCTGTTGACCGCCGCTTGTACGCGATTAGTCATCAAACTGTATATCAAATAAAATCACTTTTGACGGAATGTTTTGTAGATTTTTAATAAAACCAATACTTAGAAAAAATTCCACGCGGACCAGGCAGCAGACGGGACTCGAACCCGCACCCTTCGCAATCAATTGCAGACCAATTATGCTACCGCGGCCCTCACGGTCCGCGTCAAAATTCCTCTAGCCATTCTTAAGCAGCAAGGCAGCGCCATCTCTTCGCATTATAGGTAATCCAAAATGTTATATTAAGAATGGCTAGAGGAATTTCGACGCGGTCCGTGAGGGCCGCGGTAACATAATTGGTCAGTGCATTCGCCCGGATTGCGAAGGCTGCGGGTTCGAGTCCCGCTGCTGCCTTGTCCGCGTGGATTTTTTTCTAGTTATATTTTCTTTAGATTTAAACATCAAGCAGTTACATGCTTTAAAGAAATAAAAATTATAACTATAATTGCTATTTCTTCTGTCAAATGTTTAATACTTGTAAAAGTATTCATTTGACATTGTGGGTTACCTATAATGCGAAGAGATGGCGCTGCCTTGCAGCTTAAGAATGGCTAGAGGAATTTCGACGCGGTCCGTGAGGGCCGCAGTAGCATAATTGGTCAGTGCATTCGCCCGGATTGCGAAGGTTCGAGTCCCGTCTGCTGCCTGGTCCGCGTGGAATTTTTTCTATGTATTGGTTTTATTAAAAATCTACAAAACATTCCGTCAAAAGTGATTTTATTTGATATACAGTTTGATGACTAATCGCGCACAAGCGGCGGTCAACAGGCGCGGCGCTGGACGCCACCCTTCGGCAGTATTTTCAGTCTAGCTCCTAATCCACTTTCACGCCCATTATGAAAATTGGCACCAATGTTCTATACTATATTAGCAATTTATATAAAAAAAAAGTAAATGGTCTAACTTGATAAAAATCAAGGAAAAAACCTTAAATTGGATATTTTTCCGAAAAAAAAAAATTTTTTTTTCTTTTCCAAAAACACAGTTAAAAAGCCCAGTAAATAAAGTAGGAAATCCAGTGGTTTAGTTATTTTAATATATAATTTTATAAGTCCATAATCGGCTTTGAAGCACTGCATGCCAACCGGTTGTCGAAAACTTCAAAGTCCCATTACTCTTTAACTAGTCATTATATCACAAAAATATTTGGTACACGTATCAATAATAAGTATAAGTAGAACATACTCAAATATTACTGAAATCGGAAACATCGAGTTTATTTACCTGTCCGCTTCGCGTGGAATGCCCCACATGTATTCTATCCGTTACCCTAGTATCCCATAACACAAGCCTTACAGTGCTTACTTTGGGGTTAGGCTAATTGGTGTGAGTGTTGGAAATATTTATTATTATTATTATAATAGCAAACCAGTGAACCAAATGTTCACCAAAACCTGATTTAAAAAAAAATGTATTTAATTAATTGAGAACTTCGGATATTTTGTGTGGTTTCGTTTGAAATTCGTGATTTCTCGAAAACCGGAAGTGCTACGTTACTCAAATCCGGTTTGTAGTCTTATCAGACTATTCTTAACTTATAACTGAAATATTCTCTTTATCTATCTCTTACGATTTGGCCGCTGAAACAGCACCACAGACAGACGGACGGACTTGTCTAATAGTTAAGAGATATTACAACAGCGTCTGATGTCAATATACGTCTTATACGTGGGCCAAATGTGCACACCATCTCTCCCACGTTGCATTGCATACGTTGCGTACGTGGGCTCAGGCTTTTTTCTACCTTTATGTATCGCCGCACACGGGCCACACGCCACAGCCACAAACGCTTCCACGAGAAGCTAGAAGCGGCTACTAAAGTGGCTGAATCGTGCGACAGCGGCGGAATAAGGTAGGGGGTGGGGAATCGCGCGAGTGACGTGTGGCGGCGTTTTGTATCGGCGCATTAAGTGGCCGGTGCGGGCCACAAGAAGCGAGCAACGACGATTTGTAGCGTGTGGCGGCCACCGGCGGCGTACCGTGTGTGGCGAGCCCATATAAAATGTATAAAAACTACAAGAAATATGCTGGTGGCGGCGTTTTGTGGTTGTAGTCGGTGGTCGTGTGCGGCGGCACTATGATAACTTCCATGGCCGAGTGCTACATACGCCAGGTTTCAAGGTGTCGCCTACTCGAGAGATCCCGGGTTCAAATCCCGGTGGGGGCAGATGTTTGTGTGATGAACACAAGCATTTGTACTCCAGTCATGGATGTTTAATATATCCTAATATTGTATTTTTGCAGGCCGGCAAGGTGAGGATGGTTGGTGTGGCAGTTTATAACTGCTGTACCAGCTATGTTTGCGTTTGGACTTTATCACCACTTAACATTAGGTGGGTAAGAGTCATTTGCCTACCTGGCAATATAAAAAAAATAGTATATGTATTCGATCCGTTACCTACGTTTGGGGCTAGGCTAATTGGCTATCTTTCTGCTACCTCTTCACAACTAAACCGCTGAACCGATTTCAATGAAATTTGGCATAGAGACCGTTTGAGTCCTGGGATGGGATGTATGACCTAGTTTTTATCCTAGAAACCACCCTTTAAGGGATTGGAAAGGAGAATGGAAATTTTAATGGAAAAACCAATTTTTCCAGACATATTATATTGTACTAGAAAGTGGGCGCTTCTTGAAGTTTCTGCTTGGGGTACTGTTACCATTATATATTATAACAGGCACTAACTTCTAGTGACGTCGCATATCGTGGGTGTATTCCGAAATATAAACCAGTACGCTGGCCACCGGTAATGACGTCATGATTTCGAAGCCATATTGCTCTGGTGTAGTAGTAGTGTTGTCAATATGGCGTCGAAATCATGACGTCATTACCACTGGCCAGCGCACTGGTGATTGATTCGGAATACACTCCGTATATCCCCATGCCAAAGTTTCTATGGAAACTCAGCAACGCCCCTACCGGACGTAAGAACAAACTGGCTTTTTCCATAGAAAATTAGACGATGGCGATACGAATTTTTTCACGCTGGATACAAAACAAACAGGAGAGCATTGCGCCCTCGTGAAGCTGCCACAATAGTATTTACACATTAATGTGTCATGAGATTAGATACTATCTTGTAATTTTGCACACCCCCTCTTTTATTAAAATTCGTCTCTCCATCCTATGGTTGTCTGGAAGAAATGGCTACATAGCCATAAGACCGCCAATTGTCCACCTATTTAAATTAATGTCCAAATTTTGTATTTTATAATGTGGTGTGTTCAATAAAGTATTATCTATCTATCTATCTATCTAATATTTCTAATGCTAGCACTTCACATGGTTATTCGTATTTGCTATTAGTAAACTTGACAACAGTATCTCATACTTTATAGGGAATGAAAAGGACCACCTGCTGTCAAAATGATATTAGTAAAACTAGTTTTAACCCGTCTTAACTAGTCTAATAACCCCTATTGCACGAAACTTTATTTATTTATTGACGTTTCGCAGCCTTTTCAGTTCTGCATCCAAAGGCTGCGAAACGTCAATAAATAAATAAAGTTTCGTGCATTAACCCGTTAAACTAGTTTTTTTAATGAGTGATGTGCGTGAAAACCTAAGAAACAAATATGATATATAGTAAATACAAATAGTCATATGCAGTGCTAGTATTACACTCACTTCAAAGTAACCCTTTTAAGGCTTGCGTTAAGCGATACTAGCGGTAAGTGATAGTAATACATCTAAATATATAAAAGAAGAACCTGAGTGACTGATTGAAAATCAACGCCTAGCCCAAACCGCTTAGTCTAGAGACTACAAATTTGGCGCGTAGATTCCTTAAGAGGACTAGCGGTGAATTTTTCAAAATTCACGCACGAATGGTTTAAAAAAGGGGATGAAAGTTAGTATAAAAAAAATTATTTGTTGAGTTAATAGACTTGAAACTTGGCACGAATACTTATCTAAACAAATTATAAAGATTGTTATTTTGACGTCTTATAAATCGATGAACACCGTCTGCATGCACGAAAGTGTGACGTCATGTCACGTTGTCATGAGTTAGTTCAATGTTAGATGGGGTGTGTGAGGTGAGGTCTTGACCACAACTCACACACCCCGTCACCTTGGGTTTCTTCGACCAATCCCCCTCTCCCACCTTGAGAAGGGGCGCCCCTGCTACTTTAGCTCACGAGATACGAAATATCTGGTGTCTTGGGGTCGGGGATTGGTCATACCCCGATAAGGGTTGTGATTATGATGTACGCAGCATGCCTATCTTATAGCAACAAAATACGCCGTTTGTCTCGTGCCGCTAGCTGCTTTAGTTCACGAGATACGAAAAATCTGAGATATCTAAGAATAAGGGTTGTTAGCCCCCCATGAAGGGCTTATATTTTTTCATATCTAACCAGCTTATCTTACAGCAACAAAATATGCCGTACATCTGATATCTCTAACTGCTTTTGCCTCCGAGATAGCGCTGTTGTTTCACTAGCGTAATATAACAGGGTTTTTCGGAGAAATCTTGGAGCAACAAAATCAATTCTTGCGGCACAAAATAGCAACAAAATACTATATACCTTAAGATATGGACTTATGAAATTGTTACGCTAGGGTAATATACTTCTCCCGGGGGCGTCCCAGTGAAGTGGCGCACGCTAAGGTGCGTCGATCCTGAGACGCCCCCATATGGGCGTAGGAGGGTACCGGGGGGTTTTAGTGGAGTAGGATCAGTGTGGCCTTCCGCACTGGTCCTGCTTGAGTAGGGTCGGCACTGTTTCCCGTGCCGGCGAGTCCCACACACGCCGTGCGCCTAGTCAGCGTCACGGTATGGTGCGTAACTGCATTTCCCCTCGTCACAAAAAAAAGAAAAAAAGGGTAATATACTTCTGCCTACGTGGAGCACGCACCTGGTAGAACATGACGTATCCGTCGGCGGCCGCGGTGGCGAGGGCCGTGCCGTCGGGCGAGAAGGCGGCGTCCACGAGGGGTGCTCCGTGCGCGGAGCCCCACGCGCCGCCCCCCAGCGCCCCCGCGCCCGCGCCGCCTCCGCCCCCGGCGCGGATGTTCCACATGCGGGCTTGACAAAAACCATATCTATATATATAAAACTCAAAGGTGACATAGTGATCTATCAACGCGCAGCCCAAACCACTGGACGGATCGGGCTGAAATTTGGCATGCAGGTAGATGTTATGATGAAGGCATCCGCTAAGAAAGGATTTTGATCAATTCTACCCCCAAGGGGATAAAATAGGGAATGAAAGTTTGTATGAAACTTTGTCAATTTTAAACCGATCGGGCTGAGACTTTGCATGCAGGTATAAGAAGAATCATAGATGAATGTCATTCTGTATAATACAAGCCTGAGAACAAAAACTGTAGTCTACACTGAAGCGAAGCGAGGGCACTAGTTGTTATTATACACTGCTTAATGTAGTGATTTAATAATATTTCATTGTTTGATAATTTGACATGTGTGAATGGAACAAAACACCCTGGATTAACACATAGGCTACGCTTTACTGGGGGAAAATGAAAATTTGTTTTTCGTTAAAGAACATAATGGTACAATCAGTAGATGAGTCCTCCTAGTAAGTTTTAAATAAAACCTGTTCAGGAGAACCCGCTCTCTCATCACTGCAGGTAAGTATCTAGATGATGCTATTTATACAATAATCGCAATCACTTTTTTTTAAGTCAATATAACATTATTGAAATAAACAAAATGCTAAATAAAATGATTATAATAAGACTCACAATCCGAACAGTTTAAATTGCTAATATTTTCTTAGAGGTATATATATATGTGTATGTTTGTGGGTGTGTGTGTGTATGTTTGTGTGTGTGTGCGTGTGTGTGTGTATGTGTGTGCGAGTATTATGCATTTGAAATATCCCTAATAAACAACGGATAACACCGCGAGGCACAGCTAGTCTATTATTAATGTTATAAATAAATCAGTAGATAAATAGGGGACTATTTATATGATAGGGATATCATACCTATATTAGCGTGCGTAGTGAGCAGCAACCTTGCCACATCATCGTCCGGCGCGTCATCATCGTCCGGAATGTAAGGGCACCACACGACGCGGTGCGACGCCGCCGTCGCCGCCGCAGTCGCCGTCGCACCTGCGCCCTCTTCAACGTGCTCCTCCGCCACTAGCGTGCATCTGTAAGTGCGTCCGCTGCCTCAAGACTGGGCGCACATGTACGGTTACCTGATCAGGAATTCCGATTCGGAGACCTGAATGCAAGTCCTTACATACCAAATGTTTAACGAAATGGAGAAAACCTAGCGGCTATTCGGCCTACCTAACCTAGCGGTTCGGAATATACTTAATAAAAAAAACCAGAAACTTCTGCGTAAGGCTCACGGATTGCCGAATCTGAATCCCTGATCAGGAAACCGTACATTTGCACACAGCCTAAAGCGGGTGCACGCGCTGACGACAATCGCGGGGACATGCGCCGTCAAATTCGTCGCAGACAAATTTAACCATGCGACGAATTCTAATACAAAGACAATTCCCACCTCTCGCAACGTCGCTAGTACAATTTCGATCGCGTGATGTTTAATCGATAATGGGTTTTTTTATAATACTACCTAGCCGAAAGACGACGCAGACGTAAAAACAGAAAACAGTCAGGGCTGCTCTATGAAATGATATGAAACAGCACCGGGAGCGAAAGTCCACGCCATGCACCCACTTAATTGTTCAGGACTCCCGAGTTTGCGTGAGGCCGATTTTACTGCGCTTTTGATGCAATGCTTTGGATTAAAGTCACAGCAATTTTCCATACCGAGCATGGTGATACTGTTCTTTAGCGAGTTGTGCCCTGAAGAGAAGGCAATGAAAGGAATGGCGACGTTTTTGTCGTGAATGCGCAGACCTGGGTTTTCTTAGTATTGAACTCAACCAAGCTTTTGGTACCCCATTCGGAAATGTGGTCCAAAGCCTGATTGAGTTCAATGTTAAGATTCTCCTGTTTCTCTTTGGTTACCGCCTGTCCAGCTGCTTTTTGTATGAGATTTGCGAGAGTTGCGCATAATTAAGAACAGCTTTATTGTAATTGTGTATTAAAGAAATTCAGAGACTACAAAATCATGGTTCTATTAGTATACAGAGACTTGATATTATTTCAATACATTAATTGAAATAATTATCATCATTCTTTAGGTACTTACACACTGAATACAATGTACAATTTATTACATCCCTAGGAATGTAATGTTTCACATACCTAAGATAATTTGATATAACTCAAGTTCATTAAATCATCAAATATTATCACAATTTTCAGGTAACAAGGATAAAATAAAAAAAACATAATTATTTCTAAAAATAATTAGCAAAGGGAAGGAAAATGTTTCCAGCTGCAGATTTATAATTTTAACTCAGTGTAAGTTCATGTTTTTGTGCTATAATACTGATTTCCAGACTAAATATTTCACTCCAGTTTGTAGAACAAACTGGGACACCTTTAGACCGTAAGTGATTCAAGATAATTATTATTATTTATTTACCAATTCGTTCATGACTTTAAAAAAAGATTTTGTTACAGAAAATTCAGTTTTCAAAACGGTTTTGTTTGCTTAATTATAGAATTGTTTAAAATGGATTGCAACTTTCTCATATTGGGATGGTGAAGCTGCCACAGGCTACAATTTTAGTTGTGGGTTTAAATATTTTGTGAAATAATGTTACCAAGTTATTGGTGGCATAAAATACTTATAACTCAAATTGAAGGAAGTATGAAAGAAGTGAAAATATATTACAAAATAGAATATGTATTTACAAAATAAACAGTAAAATATTACCTGAGTCCACTGTCTGTGGCTTCTATTTCATGGACATAAAAATTGCCAAGTTCGTCAATTGATGCTAACACCACTTGATTTTGTATGTGAGCAAATGCCAGATCTTGCACCTTAAAATAATTCATAAGAATTAAATACTACATTAAATGATGCATAACCAGCTAAATATATGAATTAAATACATTTACAATGTTCTTATCCAGATTTTTTTCAAGCATGTTGATGTTAAATAAAACTGCTGAAAAATGACTTACTTCTCCTTTCATGCCCTTGATCAAAGCACGACGGTCGGTGCCAGGTTCAGGGCTGTAAACGACACGAACCATTCCAGTCCACATGCCTGGGCTGGCTGCATTTGGGGCTGAGAGTAATCAATAAATGTTAAATTAGGAACCTTAAAGAGAGTGGTCAGCTTTATTACTTTTATAGTTCTAGATTAATATTATGATTTAATATGATGTTGTAAAGAATGAAATCAAATACTATATACTCTGTTCATGAAATGATCTACTAAAAATATTCTGTCATTAGTAGATGGAAGACTTTTGTAGCAGAATATATATTTCATATTTACTCCACTGAATTGTTGAAGTACTAGTTCTTTAATAACTGATACTGATATAACTGTTGACTCTTATCAATTATACTAGTTTTTTTTTTAATATACCTTTAATGGAGTACGCCAAATACTTTCCACTCATATGAATGGCAAGCAGTTGACCCGAGTAGAACTTGGGCTCCCAATTGTAGTCAACCAAGTTTTTCAGTTTCACCTTGGAGCTGCCATGGTTGTGGTTGCCAGCATTAGTGTTAACCACCACTTCAGTGGCCAACACTTCTGCACTACATACTCCATCATCTTCCGAAAAAGTTCTGAAATATTAATTTTTACTTACAAGTGAGATTCAACTGTTTTACTAAATATATTTTGTTCTTAAACCTATATATTAAAGTTGTAAGAAAGAAAGAAATACTTAATGTATTTACCATTGCACTGTGATTTGTTACAAGACATAAAAGTTTCAATAATGTAACCCTTACATGTATAAAAAATGGGTTATGCCCATTTTAATATGGTACATACAAAGACTGTTCTGGGTCTGATAAAATTAACATTAAAGTGCTTGCATAATATAGACTTTCGTAACTCATATTTAAAACTAAACACGAAGATATTACACATAATGTTACGACCTTGAAGAAGACATTAAAAATTTAATAATTTGCTAAAAATTGCGACGAGATAGAAGATTAGCAACAGGTTATGAAAGTTTTCGGCAAACTACTTCGTCAGAAATAATGATATGTGAGCATCGGTAGCAATGTTTCAAATGTAATTAAAGTACATAGAATTAATATTTTCTAGTAAAAACTAAGGAAAAGAATGTTTTATACGTGCACTCACATAACTTGAGTAGTGTCCGTAAGTTTCGGAAGCATCGTCGTCGGTTGCATTACTATTTTAGTTTTGTAAATTCTTCATGAATTGGATAGCAGAAAACAAAAACAGTTAGAAAACTTTACTTTTGCAGAAATAATGCAAAAATTATATTTTGCCTGAAGCCGACGGACATAGAGAATGCGTTTCGTTAAATTTGATACTTAGTAAAATCGTTGAAGATTTAAAGTCAGCACATTTTTATTTTAACTGAGGGTATTCAGGTTTATAGACTTAAATTATTAAATCAATGTTATGATAAAATGAATATTTTTTTATGCAGGTATTTTGTTGCTAATTGCAATATTGGTAAAACTAAACGCAAAAACAGTATGTTTTCGATAGTCATAAAGTTTGTAAACGATTTTAAAATATTTATTTTTAAGGGAATGAATCAACTTATTCAATTGTATGTACTTAAACTTCTTTCGTAAAATTTATTTTATATTTTACAGTTAAACAATCGTTAAAATGAATTCATTTTTTTATTTGAAGAGGCAGTGTTGCTGCTTTAATGAATTTTACATTAGAAACAACGGATAACCTCACGCACTAGACAACCTCAAGTTGGCCGTTGCGGTCTAAATGCGCGACGTTCATATGGTGTTTGGTCATTGTGGCCACTGGCCAATATTTTGACGTGACAACGTCTTAAATTAGGTTGCGGCTGGGAGTCACTTATGAAAAAGTGTAACGCTCGGTAACGTTACGATGAGTCTCTCGTGTTAAGTTTAAGTTTACATGTACAATGTTTTAGTAAACAAAATATATTTCTATAGTTAAAATTTGTGCAATTCTTATTTTCATTCAATTCCTTGTTCCTATTGTGCAATTTAATTATATTCATATCAATAAATATTCTACCGAGAAAAAGACGTTGTCACGTAAAATCTTCGCCCGTAAAACCGACTTTACAGGCAACCATTTTTTTTTTGTCAGCCCTACAATGAGATCCTGGTTTTAGCAGAGCATCGCTATTCGCCACGGATGTAACGTAGTTTCTGACTGTTATCGTTTTTTTACAAATTGTCGAACTTTATCTCTTTTGCTTTCCTTTTTAAACTATAGGAAATGTGATATAACTTACTATCTTTTTACTTTGTGCCCACTATTACACTTATTTTTTTATATTCACTTTACCATGTTTTTGATTACCTCATCTGGCAACACGGATTGGTTGGTTGACAATTGACAAGTTGGCTAAAAGATTGAGTATCCAAAGCGAGAGTAAATAAATTTAAAAAAAAGGTTGACAAGTTAGTGGTTGACAGTTGACAGGGCAGTGAATTGATTTTTTACAAAAATGGTACAAGTTTTTACTTTTACTAAATTTAGTTCACCATGAATTGCTTATTAGGAGTTATAATTATGTGTGTAAATTTTTCAGTCATTAACAGACAAGATTGGTATGCTTATGTCGCGGCCTGGCGCCGATAATGCTCAGAAAGATGACGTTCCATGGTGGATGCGCTACGCTGGACGAGGCCTGGGGACAGTTGGCAGTTTCAGTTCGTATATTTACTTTCTAAACCATACCCTAAAATCATCTTTAAACGCTAAGCAAATCTTTGTCACCAGTTATTCATATAGAATCTTGAAACCTGGACACCAATACATGGGTATGATAGTTACCCTATAGGCCCATTATAGCAGGCTATTACAGACACTATAATTTTGAATTGTAAACATATTTTTTTACCTGATTATTCACAAAAAATATTATTAAAGTTTTAATTTTTATATGATGTAAACTCCACTTTTATGGAGAGAGATACATATAGTTGTTTTAATTATTAAAAAAATCAAAAGGAATAGTTTTGGGCTCACCTTTCCATTATATGTAATTGAGTTGCAAGCTGAAATTTTTGTCACGCAAAGTATTAACTATTAAAAACACGTACACGAAATCTTTTTTGGCGGAAACGAATAGAACTCGAGAAAAAAAATATTGAAAATTAATATTTTTCTAGGTTAAGAGTCAATTTTGACAACATTTTTTTTTCGCAATTTTCATGATCAGTGCTGCCATTTTTTTATGCAAAAATAACATGTTTCTCGTTGTCTATGGTAAATATAAGTTTATTATGTTGGTACTATTGTCAAAATGTGACAATTTACCGCCATTAATGAGATCTGTCAGTCAGTGTTTGTGTTTAAACTTGTTTTATTTAAACGGCTAAACTGTATATCTAAGGCCCAAGTGGTGATACTTCACACTAGGTTAGGTTAGGTTAGTGTTGTGACCTTAACGCGCGAGCCGAGCGAGCGAAGCGAGCGTGCCGCGGCAGCGGCCGGCGAAGCGCCAGAAAGAAAAATTTGTTAATATACTTTTTCTACAGAAAAATCAAATATCACCTCTAGGCTCTGGAAGTACAGATTTACCTTTAAAACTCCTCTAATTTTTTATAATTATCATTTCTATAAAAAAACGCCGGGAGCGGGGGGGTTACCCTTCCCTCTGAGGGGTCTTCCCTAATACCTATCCCCCTGAAATTCCACTACATATAACAGATTTTATGAATTTTTAGGTTAGGTAAAAAAAAAAAACTGCATTTCCGCCAAAAATCATTTATGGCGGGGGGGTCGGGGGGAGCCCCCCCTCCCGCCCCCCTACAAATTACCCCGAAATTCAATTACATATAATGGAATTAAGTACCAATATTCAATTGGTTTTGATGGATATTAAAAGCAGAAGTCGGAAAAAGCAAAGTTATGGTTTCAAATAAAGCATATTGGTATATAGGACAGACAATCTACAAATATTAATTAAACTCCTATAGATCATGTGTTTAATTTTATGATAAATAAAAATAAGGATAATTCATATTCAAATCTGTCAATGTTATTTTTACATTTGATAAGAAACAGTAACAGCCTTTTTAATTTTCTTTCCTCAGTTATGTACAGGATAAATATATAATAAAATCAAACTCTATACCTATTAGATTCCATAATCAAGCATCAAGAATTTATTTACTTCGGAGTTATAGTGTATGTTCCATAGTCTACAGGTCAATTTAGGAAATTCTCATATCATTTTAACCCTGGAAAACTGAGTAGGTACTGTATGTAGGTAATTCTGCCTTTTATACAAATATATCACAATTATGTGTCATGTTGTCCATTAACATACAAGATGATTTTATAAATATTTGATCAAACATACCTTAATTAAACTGAATTTTTGTTATCTTGTTCTTGTCTTGTTTCTATCAAATTCAAGTACATATGTACATAATCTTCTTATCAGTTTGGGGAAGGTATTATTATTTTGTCAACATAGGTACTAATTACTAATCCTTCTAATTAATAGATGATGGTCACATCCATTGTTCATGGTTCAATTCATTTGATCAATTGTTATTATTATACTACAAATAGGTGATAAAAAAATATAATATAGTTGTGGATGACTAACGTCTATGAAATGAATTGTTATCATTATTGTCTTGATTAAATTGGAATCATTTGAAATTGATCAATCATTGAATTGATTGTATATTGGCAGTGGAGCATGTCAGTAAAAAGCCCCTCAATTTTTTTGCTGCAATGTCAACCAAGAAACCTTGAATGACCAGTAACTTGGTGTTTATATAGATGGAGGTTATGTCTTTTCTGATTTCCTTTTGTAACTAATCACTGTTATTTCGGGTAAATTTAGCAAACTTTCTCAGATTCTTCAAAATTAAATGACTGTAAAATAGTGACAGAAAACAGCTTAACAAAATGTTGTAATTCCAAAAAGGCTAAAGCTCATGTATTTTGAATGATAATAACTTATTCTGTTCTGAACCAAAATAATCATTATAATTTAAAAATTTCGTGCAAAAACAGAATAGGAAACTCAGTTGCAAAGCTGCAGTTGGGGTTCAATGTTATTTTATTTTTATTGGACAGGATAACATCTTTCTAGTTTGTTAGTGCTTTTATTTAAATTATACTCTATTATTTTAATTAAACTTCCTTTGAGACAAAAGGTTAACAAATAAACCAATATTTCTAAAACAGTCGCAATAATCCTGGGACTGGTGAACTGCACGGGCATAATCTTGTTGAACGTGGGCTGCGTGATCGCGGGCATCTGGCAGATGCTGGCGGGTTTCGTGGTGATAGTGTGCGAGGCGCCATGCTGCTGCTTCTTCATCGACTATGTGCAGGCGCTCTCCGACAAGATGGAGACCAGGCCCTATTGGAACAAAGCAGCGCTTTACGTCGGGTGAGCTATTTCTATATCTCATAAGTTAATGTCATCCAAGATACGGTAGGTACAGGGGTGTATTTACCTAGGGCTAAAAGGGTGATGGACCCGGGCGGCAGGCTGCGAGAGGCCGCAAAAGCTTTAAAAAGGGATTTGTTACTGACCTATATTTTATATAAATGCGCCTCTGGGGAGACACAGCCCATATCTCGCTTGAATAATTGAATAAGTTCCTCGAGCGGGGCAATAACCTCCACCACCACAGAATTGTGCAGCCAACAGTTTTCTGTATTTCTAAGGAATTATCTGCTGCATCAGTGATCTTTGTAACTGAACTTACTACACTCACACACTTAACATTATTGTGTGGTTGGGGTGAGATGGAGTATTTGTTTTTAATGTTGTAAGGGTGCGGCAAACAAAAGCATGGTCCACCTTGCGATACAAAAATATCACTCACATATTGCCCAAATTAGGAAAATTTAATAGGTTCTTTAACATCTGACAAACTTCAATCTTTTATATGTAACTGTTTTTAATGCCTACCTATAGATATGGTCAGTTAGCCTTGGCTCACCATTATTAAGGCTTTGACTGAGAGGTCGCTTCGCCTTACTGTTTTTGTTCACTAATCATAATCCACTGCATTCAAATAATAGAGGAAAACTTTCCGTCATCTACTAAAAATTTTTTTAATATTGGGTAGACAAGAAGCAGCCAATCAGTAATAAAAGTCTTTATGTTTGTCAGTCAAATAGTACATGGGGCCATTCGCCTAACGGAAATGCTTTGGAAAACGCTAACGCTTTCGATTTTATTTTGTTATTTCTGACCGCCGAAGGTTTTTAAATACCTCACGCTCATTTTTTTTAATATTAATATTACCAATGCAAAAGAAAAAAAAAGAGCGCGAGGAGAAAACCTGAGGCGGCTAGAAA